TCTTGAAAATGGCTTGAAGAAGTACTGCATGTTTCTCGGCTGATTCGAGCTCCCAAGCTGCGGCGAGAGCCCGTAAACGCTTGCTTTCGACGTCAGCTTGCTTTGCGATGACAGCTGTATAGACAGTGTCATCAGGCATAGCCTTCATGCTTTCTTTGAAGATCTCTTTGCCCTGGTACAATGCTTGTCAATGTGACATGACCTGTGACTAGTAGATAATGCTTGAATACCTGATGAACATCTACCAGGCTAAGATCAACCTCGTTGCGCTTCAGAAGATTCTTCGTCATGAAACGGTGTTCCAGAGCAGTAGGGACATGCCCTCCTAGTTGATAGGGCCTGAATTTGAGGCTAGTGCGCTTTGCATAAGACGACATATGGCGTGTTACGGGGGGAGGCCCTTTGGAAGTGATTGGGTGGCACAGCGTTGGCCACCACTACAAGATTCTTCAAATGATGATTGATTGGGGTTTATGGGGCCCATTATCCGACTATGATCATTGTCATAGTAAGGGCACTTGGTGACATGAGGAGTGTCATCATGATCCTGGATAGATCGCTTGGCGAAAATATCAGCAGGCACCCCCAACACTTTCTCGAAATGAACGGGACTAGAGACTCCAACTGGAGGAGGTGCAGAAATAACAGGGGAGGAGGACATGTTAGTGTGCTTGTCATGGTCTCGGAGGGGCCTCTAGCTTGACTTCCGGACTCAGAAGATATCAACTGGTGTCATTGGTGTGTGAGAGTCGGAGTTTCAACGACCGTAAGCTGGCAGCCCAACCTAACTATGTCAGCACCACTGCCTGGATCATAAGTTCACACAGAGAAAATGTTAGTGACATATTGGGTATCAACAAAACTTCCCAGTACGGTATCACTGTACCATATCTTTGTGTTTCAGATGCCGCGGAAATCAAATTGCTTTCATAGTAATATCAGCCACCGATTTCCAGTTAACATGTTCAACGTTGTATACTAGTAGGTAATGTTAGATTTGGCCAGGGATCACGCTGTAGAAACAACAATACTGCTAGGAACAAATGATGCTCCTGACAGTATCTATAAATGTTGAAAGGTCGCACGTTGCCTAGTCTGCGTTACTTGAGGAGACAAGTGCGTTTGACCCTAAAGGGGAAGTGAGTACAGCAAAGATCTAGAGGTATGTGCGGAAACGCGAAGCGCAAGAAAGCGCAGGTGCACGCAAGGTACGAAGGCGTGGGAACGCGCGCGCGTATTAGCGCAAAGCACGGGAAAGGCGCGAAATAAGAGAGACTAAACTTAAGTGATGATATGATACAAGATAAGAGAAGAGATGTGATGTGCTAATGAATAGGTTTCTACTGCGACTTTCTAGGTATTAAGTAGGTAAGTAAAGATGGGTGAAAAAGTAAGTCGAAAAGTAAGTAATAGTATGTACTGCTGGCGCTTATATAGCGCACCTAAGCGCGGTCATGCGGAGCCGAAGCGCTACCGAGTAGGTATGTAAGGATATATATGGGTGAGAGTCCATGATAAAAATAAAGGTGGAACACTATGCTAATAAAGGAAATGGAAATATACGCACTAGGGAGCTTGGTGGACAGTGGATGGATGCATCTGGATGGCTGGCGCTATAGGGCGCGCAAGCGTGGGAACGCGCGCGCGCGTTGCGCGGGAAAGCTGCGCCTCATATAGGAATTGCTGTGGACAGTACACAGAGTGGTGCTGCGAGTTGGTGCTGTATACTCCCTTAGTGAAAACTGCCATATCACGCCATGAGAGGCATGAGTCTCTACAATGCTAGCAATTAAAAGTAGGTATAAGATCATACTACTTGTAGAAATAGTAGACAGTAAATGTGACACACTATTCGAGAGCTTGGATATTTTCCTTATCAGTGTCATCAGCTCATGCCTTCTGTTTGCCTTTAGCCTTCCTCCATGCTCTCGCACGTTCCTCCTTCATGTGAGCTTCACAAACACGAGTATGAAATGTGACCGCAGCACCCTCCGACATACCAACCTTCTCCACATAAAATCGGCTACCAAAATGCGCTGCAGTCGGCAGATACAATATGCTGCGCTCCTTCAGCATATCTCCATACCGAGGGAAGTCCATAGCAGGGTAGCGAGAATGGATGGTTGTGATGACGTCGTCAATGTCTTTTGGCGGTTCTTCATCGTCACTTTCTTCATCACTCTCCATGTAGAGTGCAAATGTCCTTTTAAGTGGTTGCGGAGCGGCCATAGGGCCCTGACTTTCAAGTTGCTGTACAGAATGCGCATCATTAGAAGCCCACGTGTTGTTGATGGCAGATGAGAGGTGAACATGATTATGGATAATGGGTGATATGAGCTCGGTTGGGATACGTTGAAGCGATGACGCAGTTCTTGCCTGACATGTCTTGCGAATGTCATCGAAATAAGGCGTGTTGGGTAGAGTAGCACAGGTGCTATCCGGATCTCGAGTGTCATACTAAATGATTCAGATGAATGTATAGTAGGCTTAGAGGCGTATAAACGTGCACATACCAGATGTTTAGCCCACTCCTGGAGGTCTTGGGTACATATCGGATAGTGTGGAGCGTCTGGCTGTGACACATCTACCCAACAAAATGTGTTCTCTGAACCTCCGAGCTGATGCTCAGCGCAACATAATCTTCTCTTCACATTCTCGAGTTCCTTCACGTATAGAAGGGATGGATCGGACACAATACCTGCCTGTGATTTGATTTGTTTTCCTTTTGGTACCGACATCTACCGCAAGAAGTTATTGAGCTGTCGTGTCACGATTGAGTCAAAAAAGAACTTACAGTGTTGACGATTTCAATCACAACCTTCTTCTTTTTCCGTCCAGACACCTGCTCCGCCCTCACAGCCTTGAAAGTGCTAGTGATGTCCTGGGAAGTCAAAAGGCGATGTGGTGGGTCCATGCGGCGGGCTGTAGACAGACGCCAACCCAAGTGCTCGTATTTCTTCGAAAGATTCATTGCGGCCCTCGTGGAGTCGAGTATATCTAGTGGATGGTCTGACTCGGCATAAAAGTTGTCTACATACATTGTAGATTTGTCCTTGTCCATAGTATTCAAAGGAATGCGAAACTCGACTAGTGAGACGTGAGTATCTCGCATAAGTTACTCAAGACGATCATCAAAATTACCTTTCTCGAAAGCTTGAGGCTGCTCGGGTCTTTCTTCTGTATAGCTAGCCTGAGCTTCTGACGAATAGCACAACTGAACGGCACGGATGCAGTTGACCTCTTCGCCAGTGACTTCGGGCAGTTCTTTATGGGCACCAAGAAGATATGCTGTAGTTTGAAGACGGGTGCATCGGCGAGTCGATGGGATGGAATCTATGATATTATTGATATTGCGCGAAAGAATCTCCTGATTATCACGATCATGAGTTCTAGTATAACAGGCGGGGCTCTGAGTGTCGCTGTGCATCACGAACCAATGATACAATTAGACTTACTTTGCTCTTAGCTACCCAGTCTTTATATCATTTCAGTCTGGCTGTCATGATGCAACTCACCGAACGAAGAGTGATTGCCTAATAAGACTTAGTAGTAGTAATCCATCATGGCAATGACTATGCCGTCACAGGGTTGTACGGTACTGTGCCAGCCGGGAGTCTGGCTCGGCGAGTCCTCGACTTTGCTGAGCAGGCGACTCTGAGTGACCGGTTCAAGTTTTGTGGGGTATGACATGATGCTACCGCGCTGTAGAAACAACAATACTGCTAGGAACAAAAGGTGCTCCTAACTGTATCTAAAAAAGTTGTAAGGTTGCGCGTTGCCTAGTGTGCTATACTTGAAAGGACAAGTGCGTTCAACCCTAAAGGGGAAGCAGGTGCAGCGAAGATCTCGAGGTATGCGCCGAAGCGAAGCGCGAGAAAGCGCAGGTGCACGCAAGGTACGAAGGTGCAGGAACGCGCGCGCGTGCGGAAATGGTAGAGAGACTAAGCTTAAGTGATAATATAATGCAATATAAGAGAAGAGTGCGAGATGTAAAGGAATAGAGTTATATTGCGACTTTCTAGGTAGTAAGTACTAGGTAAAGTGAGAGGTGAAAGTTCAGTGGAAAACTCCTGTGTCGGCGCTTATATAGCGCGCCTAAGCGCGGTCATGCGGAGCCGAAGCGCTACCGAGTAGGTATGTAAAGATATATATAAGTAAGGGTCCATTATAAAAATAGAGGTGGAATGATATGCTAATAAAAGAAATGGACATATACGCACTAGAGGGTTTGGTGGACAGTGGATGGATGCTTCTGGATGGCTGGCGCTATAGGGAGCTCAAGCGCGGGAATGCACGCGCGCGTATACATCGCGAAGCGCGGGAATGGTGCGCGCATAGCACGCGTTGCGCGGGAAAGTTGCGCCTCGTATAGGGATAGCTGCGGGTAGCGCACGGAGTGACACTACAAGTTCATGCTATGTACTCCTTGGTGGGAACTGCCATATCACGCCATGAGAGGCATGAGTCTCTACAGCGCGTTAATGCCTGAGTCAGTGGCAAAAATGTAAAAGATGATGGATCCCGACTTACTACTCATACTAGTACTGGTCAGTTGAATACCTTGAAACATTAGTACGTCACAGTTCAGCGTGGGCCATTACCCTTTGCCCAACTAGCGCCAAGTCACTTTGGGAAGTTCTTGACATTCTATATAAGGTAAACCAAGTCTTTCCCGACTTGTAGAGGGTTCTCTTGTTAGTGGTTACATAAGTAATGCGGTGACTTTCGGCTTCATGCCAAACCTTAACAAGTTTAAATGCTATACTTAGTATCCACGGCTTTGACTCGGAACAGCTGTTGGAGGTGGATATTTAGACTCGATATCACCCCGCTACTTTGAGCGTATTAATTAATCACTGATTCTAGTTCTGATATACATGTTGGTCTGAATATCTAATAGAATGGTAGAAGTTGTAGGTGGCAAACTCATAAATCCTTCAGTGAATATAAAACAGAAAATGACTATCATACATCACTCCTTGCCAGGTAGATTGAGGTCATTAAATATGTATTGTCCACACGGTGGACATTGTCGTCTTGTCCAGGATCGTGCTAAAGCCACCCCCTTTGGCTCGCAGTGCAGCCAATGCTTCGATCAACCATACTATAACAGTTATCACGGCTGGTCATGACTGTCAACGCGGAAGGCATGCAGCACCTATACTAGCATGATGCCCGTCAATAACTTGTGTGGGGGTGGTTTTTTTACCATTGGCCGGCCTGCAAGGCATAGTGAGACTGGCAGAACCAGCAAGAGTGCTACTAGCTTACTTTCTGCCTACAATGGCGAAAACGTAGAGCGTAAGGGCTCCATTTGAAAGGAAGGCCACACAAGCCAAGATAGTTATGATATTGACAACGGCATTGTCGGACCCGAAGCAGGCGATAAAGATAGCTGCACCAAATGAAACATCATACTTATAAGTAGATCTAAACACGCCTAGCGCCTCAGTTACCCACAAACAAAAAGCAAGTGGCACTGACAGACAGATTGAGGGGTATGCTAGCCATAGCAGCAGCGCGATGACTTGGTATCGTGGCATGTGCTGTGCTGTGTGTCAAATGGTGAGCCAGCTTAAACAAACTCACTCACCTTGAGGGTTTCCATGTCTTTGTGAGCGGTACTAGTTTCATAGATAACAAGCACAGCAGAATGATTGGAGAGTTATAAGCTATCAAATGCGGCACAGGAGGCGGTGACGACAGGAATAAAGTAGTAGTTGCGAGCACGAGCCCGGCCTGAAGTCTGGTCATTGAACGCTAGCCGTGAAGTCAGATTATATGACCAGACCCTTCAGTCACTTCTACTGTAGAACACTGTCATAGGACATGTACATTGGCCTGCAAAACCTGGACTACCGGACACCGGCTGGTCCATGTAAATCCAAGCTCGGCCGATGCTGTAGAACTCTAGCAGGCCGATGCCTCACATAAAAAAATATCAGAGGTGTAGGAAGGGGCCGGCCGGCCAGGTTGATGTTAGCAGAATGGGCCAGCCCTGATGTGCAGTGTGTATAAGGGGGCCGGCCGACCAATGTCTGCCAAATGATGCATTAGGCCTGCCTACCTCTGCATTATGTGAAAGAGGGCCAGCCGGCCAGGTTGATGTTAGCAGAATGGGCCAGCCCTGATGTGCAGTGTGTAGGAGGGGGCCGGCTGACATACCTCTCCCAAATGGTGCATTAGGCCTGCCTGCCTGTGCAATATGTGAAAGGGGGCCGGCCGGCTGCAAATTGAATTTCAGCTGAATGGGCCAGCCCTGATGTGCAGTGTGTAAGAGGGGGCCGGCCGACATACCTCTCCCAAATGGTGCATTCAGCCTACCTATCTCTGCAATATGTGAAAGGGGGACAGCCAGCTGCAGATTGAATTTCACCTTTGTGAGCCACATGGGCCAACCTGTATATGCAGTATGAAGAAGGGGGCTAGCTAGCATACTGCTTCTATGATGGCCTGCCTGCCTCTGAGGTAGGTAGAAAGTGCACTCAACCTCACTTCAAAGCTGCAGTTGATGTAGCATTTGAGTAAGCTGTCCAGAAAAAATTGCAGCTTTCTGGTGCCATTTTGGTTTATCCGAGTTTGTGGCTGGCCACTTTATACAGAGTCTGCAACAGGAGGCTGGCCCATGTGACCAGCTATCCACCTCATACACACTGCACAGCCTGTCCAGCAGACTGGGGTATAATCATAGCCAGAATAGCTGGCCCAGCATATTAGGCTGCAATATAAGCAACACAACTATTGCAATGTTGGAAAAATCAAACTGTGGTTGATGTGGCATTCAAGTAAGCAGTCCAGAAAGATTCAAAGTGAGGAACATTGAGGCTTAAAAGTAGCCACAATCATGCACAAAACAAGTTTGGTGCATGTCACTGTCCAGCAAGCTGGAGTATAGGTGAAAGTCAGGTTGGCCAGACTGGTATTACATACTGCACAGCTCGTCTGGCCAGCTTGGGTATAGAAAACAGCCAGGCTGGCCGACCCAGTATTACAGGGTGCAACAACAGGCTGGCCCAGCCAGACTTGGCTAGGGTATTGGTGAAAGCCATGTGGGCCGGCCCGGTATTACACACTGCACAGCTTGTCCGGCCTGCTAGGGTATAGGACACAACCAGGCCGGCCAGCCTAGTATTACAGGATGCAACAACAGGCTGGCCCATGCTGGAATCTCACAACCAGTCTCCTTTGGTAGAGTAAGTCTGATTATCTACTGTTTAAGCCTCACTCATTTCAGATGCTCACCTTCTATATCTATAAGTGAGAGAAAGTGAATCGTTTCTGTTGCACAACAGAAACAATTCACTTTCTCTCACTTATAGAGATAGAAAACAACAGGCTGGTTGAGCCTGTGTAGTTCACCTTCTATATCTATAAGTGAGAGAAAGTGGATCATTTCTGTTGCTTGTAAATCATTTTCATGGCAATGATGTGCTAGCAACAGAAACGATCCACTTTCTCTCACTTATAGATATAGAAGGTAAGCATCTGAAATCAGTATCATGAAAATGATGTACTCACTACAGAAACCATTCATTTTCTGTCACTCATAGACATAGAAGGTGTTGCACCCTGTAATACTGGGCTGGCCGGCCTGGCTGTGTTCTATACCCAAGCTGGCCGGACAGGTTGTGTAGTATGTAATACTGGGCTGGCCAACTTGGCTTGTCACCTATACCACAGCCAAGTCTGATAAGATTAGCAAAGTCTGGCTGGGCCAGCCTGTTGTTACACCCTGTAACACTGGGTCGGCCGGCCTGGCTGTGTCCTATACCATAGCTGGCCTGACATATTGTACAGTATGTAATACTGGTCCGGCCAGCCTGGTTGCCACCTACACCCCAGCTTGCTGGACTGTGTTATGTACCAGACTTGTTTTGTGCATGGTCATGGCTACTTTTAAGCTGGACTGCTTACATGAATGCTACATCAATCACAGCTTGATCATGCCAACATTGCAATAGTTTTGTTGCTTATATTGCAGCCTGATGTGCTAAGCCAGCATTCCTCAGTTGGCCGGATAGTCTGTGCAGTCTGTATGAGGTGGACGGCCGGTCATATAGTGCCATATTCTATATGGGCCAGCCTGCTGTTGCAGCCTGCACCTCTGGGCCGGCTGGCTTAGCTGGCACTTATACCTGAGCCAGCTGGACGGGATGTGCAGTATGTATACAGTGGCCAGCCATCCATCCCACATCGGCCAGCCTGCTGTTGCAGCCTGTAATATAAGGCTGGCTGCACACCATCATAGGCTGGCCTACTATTACAATATTTGGGCGAGGACACCTAACCTCATCTGGTATGTTTAGAAGTCAAGTAATTACATTATGAAGCCATCTTTAATATCAACTTGTCATGCTCCATTTTCCTTGAAAACTCTTCATGCCCTCAGCTGCAAACTCAGCCCACATGGAAGCCTGCTTTTCAGCATATGCCCTATGCCCATTCTTGATGCTTTCATCTGCCCTTGCTCTCCACTCCGACTCCTGCTTCTGAAACCACCATACTGTCCAACACATTTCATGCTGTACCAACTTCAGCTCTTCACTCCAACGGTCATATCGTGCTTTTGCTTTCAACCAATTGACTCAATAAACTAGGAATGGGGAACATAAGCTCAGTACCTTCATAAAAATCAGATAAGATTAAAACTCACATTCATTCATCCACTCGCTCTTCTGGCTGTCCTCTGCACTGTTGATTCTCCAAAACCAAGCTAGCCTATCAGAACCCTGACCATGCCTATTTTCCTCAGTGACTTCTTTGCTTACTGTAAGGTCCTCAGCCTTTAGGGCTTGATAAGATGACATTGTATCAGAATCAGCCCCTAATCGTTGCATTGCTGCCCTTGATCTGCGATATTCTCGAGCATGTTTGTTGATGGCCAAGGTGATTTTTCGAAGTTCCTTTGTTGATCTAGTACCCTGATAATGGATTGATTTGTTGGAGTGTAATTTCTCTCGAAACACCACAGATCTGTCACCAAGAGCTTGACGAAGCTTTTCCAGGCAGTCATTTGCTTGACCCTTTCGAAGCTCCAGTTCTTCTTGATGTAATGGCATGACAACATCATTCATGATCGGATCAGATGTCCCCCACGATGGCATCCAAAGTTCAGCAACCTCTGCAGGTGAGTCAGCATCATCTCCGATGTCCAAAATACTGTCTTCCCCCAGCTCTTCAATTCCTGGAAAATTAGATCCATCAGCCTCCTCCAGGCACAGTTCAGGGTCATCTTGGTGCAATCCTGCTCCCCCTTCCAATTCCATCCCATTTGTCATAACCAATGCAGTCTCGTGGAACTTATTAATGCGAGACAAGAGTTTCTGCCTTTTTTCTTCCATCAGAGTTCTCTGAGAAGCAGTTGGATCCTCTGGCAGTTGTCTTATAGAAGAACGTAGGCCATCTCTAATAACCCAATTTGAGTCAATCACACCTCAAATATTGAACACCTTACTGAGCATTTTCTATGTTGATACCCTCGATCAACCATGCAACAGCCCCAGTCCTACCATTGGTGGACACTTCGTTTTCAGTCAACCTTAGCCTTATTTCAGCCATAGTTGGAGCTTTTGATGATTCATAATCAGGTCCAATCAAAGTTGAATTTTACCAAACCTACCTTTATCCATTGTAAGCTGATAGATGTCGAGAAGCTCACCTCGGTGAAGAGCTGCTAGTTCAGCTTCCTTCTTCCATTTCTGGATATTGGCCCGATCAAGAGACTTCATTGATTCTTCATACGGACCCTGAGTGTCTTTAATGCCCTGTATGGCTTGATGATACTTTTTAAGTAATAATTTGACTTTTGAAGTGTTCCATTAGTCAAAGTTGACATCTTGGAAATAAAGGGGACTTGCCAATTCTGACAAGCTTCTTCCAATTAGAATCCCTCATATGGTCGTCTAAGACTTCCTGTCTGTGAGAGAGAGTCATGGACCTTGCAGTTGGGGAAATCTTGTTAAACGGGGCCCAGAGGGTCTCCAAGATTTCCCCATCAATATGACCAGCTCCTGTAATAAAATTAAGGCTGAATCTGGGAAAGCACAGTAGCTTATGAGCGCTTAGATGAAACTTGCCGACCGCTGGCAATATTTTGATTGATTGAGGAAGAGACAGGTGATAGCTTTGATTCACCCGTTCATGGAAGTGGATACTCCACTGGCATGCAACATCATAGATTATGAGTGCACTGCCAATATCTTCTGATGGATATTTCAATGCGTTGCAGATGGAATAGTCCATGTTCATTTGCCTGACTACATAGTCAGCCCAATGTCGTAGTACAACAATGCAACCAACATACCTCTCTCCCTTTTGGAAGTCAACTACTGCATGGGGAACAAAACATCCATGCCTAGAACATGCAGTTGCCCCAACTCCTGTAGCTCTTAGGTTGCTTCTCTGGACATTGGCTGCATTCACAGCACGGTGATTGCTGCTGTTACGCACTCAAATAGATCTGTTATGCGGAGCCCTAAGAGGGGCGTCGTCCGCTAACGTTCATGACGTAACCGGAAGGGTCCGGTGTAGCGACTGAGACTGGCGACATCGAGTCGGCAGATATCAGAGACGCGCATGTCACGTGACTTCTAAGACGGATGTCTTCAAAGTCACTGACGTTCTCAAAGTAAGGACAGTCTTGTCCGAACGATGAGGTAGTCGATCGAGGTAGACTTAGGTGCGATGAGCACCTAAGAAAAGATACTAGAGACTAAAGCTGAGGGGGCTTCAGAGGGAAGTATGTTCGAGGGAAGATTGAGTAGATTCAAGTTAGGGAATCTAGTACAGAGTGACCGACTACTTATACTAAGTGGAAAGGGTTAAGGGCAAGGCTACCGTACTGTAGGTAAGGGCAAAGGGGAAACGGAAAGGGTATAGGTACGCTGGTAGCAGAGCCTGATTAGTGATGTGAGGTCGAATGCGGAATGAGACCGAGAAATGTTGGAACGAGCCAACGGTAAATGATACAATGCGCAGCACGCATGAGTCAGAGGAAAGATAAGACAAGATAAGGAAAGCCACATTGGTGGCACGAGTCAAAACGAGTCATAGCCCGAAGGCACGTGCGCATGTTGGTGCGATAGGAGGGGAATGAGGGACGGGAACGGTCCCGAGGATCCGGTCAACGGATAGTCGGTAGAGAAGTACGAGCCAGAGGCATACGAGGGCGAGGACGAAGGGGAAAATGATAGGGGGGCCATGTAGCCGATGTTACTTGTAACAGCTGCAAGATGATTTCTGAAATTATATTAGACATCATTTCTAATGAAACATGTCATGAAATATGACAACTCGCCTCTTTCTCTTCCACAGATTCTATTATGTGAGTTTCATAAGGTCCTTCTGTTACCATGTATCCCTTTCCGTCTGCTAGTGAAACATCATCTTCTGGAGTCTTCATCTTCATATGCTGAGCTGTAAAATTTCCATCGACAACATATCTTTGCATGACCAACCAACTGCCGACCACAAAAATTAGCTCAGTGGGCAGTTGTTGATGAACCAACTTACCTGTCATAGGTATCCTTCCAAGAAGAAGGTAAGTTGATGCCAGGCTGGGGACATGCTGGACAATAAAGAGCTAAATCCCCTGGACCAGGAGATCTGTCCGACTCATGTGCAAAGCCAAACCTTATTCTATTGACCAAATCCCTCCATATACGAGACACCCGCATAAGTTCATGGTAGCGATCCTTTTTATCATGTAAGCATGGGGTACAATGATGAAGAAATTGCTCACAGGTATTGTATGAGGGAAAGCATTGTTGGTAAAACAACGTAGCTTTTGATAGAAACTCATAGCTGAGGTCTTGCACTCCAAAGCGTCTATGAGGAAGTTATCTAGCACATTGAAGGTAAAAGCAGATTGAGGCTGAGTGATGCTGGCAGGAAATAACTTTGCTTTTAGCAGATGTAGATGTCTGTCCTTCTCAGCTCCAGGACACTGACACCAGGATACACAGTGTGAGTAAACTCCAGTGGAGTGCACAATGACCAGGTTAGACAATCCCAACTGTGTTTCATAAATAGTATCCCCCTCCACGTGTGCAAACACATCTTCCATGGCTCCAAGATCTGACCAGGGTGACAGGTTTGACTGCTGCAACGCATTGGGGCAAGGATGTCCCCCATGACCAAGATCCATTATATACCCATGGTCCCGTAGGGTAGTAGACTCGTAGAACTTGCCATTCCAAAGCTGAAGGTTGTGGAAGGGGTTGTGCTGGTGGGCTTTGACAGCACATGAGGAACACCAGCTGTGCTCTCCTGAGCAGGACAGACAACGAATAAAGCCCTCCTCCCATCCGCAATCCTCACATTTCCCATTGTTGATCAGCTGTTCCAACTCCAACAACACTGAAAGATATTCATTGCACCAAGGCAAGTATTCCCTGAGGAAATCATTTTGGGTCTGTAATGTTGGCTAGTTTTCAAGAATAATTATTTCCACAGAACTCACTTTTGTCTTTCGTTGGATACTATTTAAGCCTCCTGTCCCAAAATCATCATATATCTCTCTGTCATAATTGACCAGTAAATGATCTTCAATATTCTGGTGGTGTTTTTGTTTCACCGGTGAGGTTGGCTCCACCTCACTGTCATAGTCTTCATAGACAGTATCCGCTTCTTTCCATGAAACATTTCCCCTCCGAGTTTTAGATGAGATGTATGTATATTTATAAGCACCTCTTTTTCTCTTTGTTGGCTGGGCATCATCAGAAGATGTTGCTACTCTGGCCCTATTTTTCCGTCTTGGTGTGATTTTTGAGGTCATTGAAATTATGGGTTTGTTCAAAGGTAACAGAGGTCAGAGCACCACATGAATTTTGGCACAGCTACATAATGATTCCACCAAAAAAATAATTATGGGAATTTCCCAATACTATCTCCTACTCCTTATTCTCTTCCGACTCTTCCCCCCTACTAACTCTAAAAAGAAACTCTGCATCGGAAATGATGGCCTTGGCACCCCAACTCTGTCATGCACAGCATCCTTCATGAAATGGGCAATTACAACCCGTTCTCCATTAAGCCAGGAACCAACAGAATGTTCTAGCACCCGCCCTGCAATATAGACCATTGCTCCAGGGGAATAATCTAGTTCTGCATGGAGGTCTGCCAAGGCCAAAGTGGCATGATGATTTCTTCCTAGACTGACCAGGAGATCAAAAAGGGATGGGGATCCACCAGCATCTCTGTGGCTAAAGGTAACACGGTTAGCAATAATTTCAAGCCCTGAAAAGATTGAGGGCCAAGAGTCCACTGGAGCAGGGTTCTTTGGGTTCTTTTTTGATCCATGACAGACTTCTTTGATGGCCTGAGAAAATGCAGAGTTGCCAGCTTGAAAAAGATCCGGAGCCACAACTCCAGTAATGGCATTCCATAGAACTTCTGATGTTGTCAAGGCAGCTAACCATCGTTGGACCTTCTCTGATTTGTAAAACTCTGAGGTCACCAATGGATCCACTCGTCGCTAAGAATAGAGTTAAGCCTAGACCCAATATATATAACAAGTGAAAATACAATACCTCCCGTCTTTGCATGAAATATGCAGGAGCTACTGTAATTCTACCAGCCCCAAATTCCCCTCCTTCAGCTGGAACCATATATCCATCATCTCTCCAACATTTGTTGACATCTTTAGGATCAACAGTTTTGAGAAGGGATTCTCTCAAGCCACCAGTGATGTGATTGAGATGCTCCTAATTAATTAATCAGCCCTGAAGGAAAATCCCCAACCAGAAACATACTATGCGAGAAGCTGTCAAAATATCAGGGAGATGAACTACCAAAATTTTTCCGTGCCTGTCCACAATGGTTGCTGGAACTGAAATTTTGCCGAGCACAGCCTCAGGGAAGAACTTCTTCAGTCTCTCCGGTTCAGCAGTTGCTGACCCATCCCTGTTGGGTTGTGACAAATTGACCTTGTCAGCATATCGGTCTACATCCCAATTGACATTGACTGTAATTCTCCATTAAATTTCATGTGCAACCCTAAATATTAACCTACTCACTAGGGTTGACCATGGCATGTGCAATGGTCAGGGCGGCCCGGTCAATTTCATACTCGGAAATTGAGGTATAATCAAAGTTCAAGGTATCACCGGGTGATGCCAAGCATTGCTGTAGCTGTACTGCTATTCTCATCCTTGATTCCCTCGGTCATTAATAGCTGGCTGCAATGAATACAGAACCACAGTTACCTAGCTTTATGCAGCAATTCTGTTTGAACTTGGCCATCTTTTAGAACCCCTAGTTCAGATGAATTGCCCATTATCTCTCTGGTCCTCCTGTCAAGACTTGCCAAAACCTCAGTTGTCTGCCTTTTGACTTGGTTCATGAGTGAAAAAAAGTGAACCAAAGTTCTCGCGCTCCGGACTCATGTTGACTGAACTTAGTTGTGATGTAATTAGAACACATTATGTAATAGCCTAATACACTCTAATTAAATTTTAAATTGGACCACATATAGCTAGTCTCCTCTAGTAGAGTAAGTGTGAGGCTCGAACAATAGACAATCAAACTTGCTCTACTAGAGGAGACAGTAGACAATTAAACTTACTTTAATTGTGGTGTTGTGAGCGAGGCTGACTTGATTAACTAGGCTGGCTCTACTTCACTAAGAACACCATGGGGGCAGCCACCCTGTGCCATGAAAATGAAACGATTCACTTTCTTTCACTTATAGATATATCATTGACCTCAACAGTCATGAAAATGATGTGCTCGCAACAGAAACAATTCACTTTCTTTCACTCATAGATATAGAAGGTGAACTACATAGGCTCAACCAGCCTGTTTTTTTCTATATCTATAAGAGAGAGAAAGTGGATCGTTTCTGTTGCTTGTATATCATTTCCATGAAAATGATGTGCTCGCAACAGAAACAATTCACTTTCTTTCACTCATAGATATAGAAGGTGGTGAACTACATAGGCTGGACCAGCCTGTTGTTTTCTATAAGCAAGAGAAAGTGGATCGTTTCTGTTGTGAGTACATGGCAATGATGTACTCGCAACAGAAACGATTCACTTTCTTTCACTCATAGATATAGAAGGTGGTGAACTACATAGGCTGGACCAGCCTATTGTTTTCTATATCTATAAGTGAGAGAAAGTGGATCGTTTCTGTTGTGAGTACATGGCAATGATGTACTCGCAACAGAAACGATTCACTTTCTTTCGCTATTAGATATAGAAGGTGAGCATCTGAAATGAGTGAGGCTCAAACAATATATAATCAAACTTACTCTACTGGAGAAGACTGGTTGTTAGACTGTGGTGTTCTCAGTGAGGCTGATGTGATCAGCTAGGCTGGCTCAACCTCACTGATGACACCATGGGCGCAGCTGCCCTGTCCCTTCACAAAAATGATGTGCTCGCAACAAACAGATTGTATTCTTTCCAAACTTACTTTAATTGAGGTGCAGTCAGTGAGGCGCATGTCACCTTGCATTACTCTCACGATCACGTGACTTAATTTTTGGGCAAAAAGTTATGAGTCACATGTCCAGAATATGCCCATACAAGGGTGATACATTTAGTCTATGTTCTACACCAAGCAAAGTACAAGTTGGAGTCGAAAAAACTAAGATAGAAAAAACTAAGGTAAATGATGCAAGACAGGGATGGAGGGGCCCTCTCCATCCTAGCCTTGCACCCTACAGTAAATGAAGCAAAGTAAAAAAGTAAACTAATAATGAGCCAACTGTAATGATAGTTAGTATGATGTTGAATATTAAAGTGACGCTTACCGAATTAAACATGTCAAAAAAAAATGGGAGGCGCATCAAGTGCAGACCAAAAACTATGGCAAAGATCAGTATCATCTTGAATCTTGAAAAGACACTTACCTCATCAAAACCGCTACCAGACAATGTGTGAGATAAAGCTGGAAAAAACACTGTTAGCACAAATCAGACTTGAAAACAAAACAAAAAACAAGCCCGAAAATTCAGTGGATCTGATAAAGCTAGAGAGCAGGTTAGTAAATTAGATTTTAACAGGAGAGACAGATATATGAAGGCGCCAGTCCCTGGGGACATGGATGGCCAAAAAATATCCCCCAGAGCCCAAAGTTAGAGGCGCCAGTCCCTGGGAACATGGATGGCCAAAAAATTATCCCCCAGAGCCCAAAGTGAGAGGCGCCAGTCCCTGGGGACATGGATGGCCACAAAAATATCCCCCAGAGCCCAAAGTGAGAGGCGCCAATCCCTGGGGACATGGATGGCCAAAGTGGGAGGCGCCAGTCCCTGGGGACATGGATGGCCAAGAATATATCTAAAAAAACTAAAGAAAAGTGAGCCGCTGGCAGAATGAGAAGACTCACCTTTAAGGCGCGCTATCAAATTTGATAGCGCGCCAGTTATTAACAAGAACTGTAAATAAATATGAAAAAAATCAGTATTGTCAAGCGGATGTACAAAGAACTTACTTGTTATTATGGGCTTGATGACTGCAGCGCTGCCTTTGACTACTTGCAGCTGCAGTCTGCAAGTAGCCAAAGGTCAGATGCAAGGAAGGTATGGTAGAGTAAAGGAGGATGAGTAGCGTTGCAATACATGGTTAAAGGTTGAAAGAAACGAACCGTGGGAGAAATGGAAATGGTTGATGTACCGTTTGTTGATTTGTTCTTGTTTGCCGGAATATCACGTGCACAATTGTGGTTGGTTTTTGCGCACAATTGTCTTTTGTGGACGTGTCTCTATTGTCAACGTGTCTCCTTCGTCACTTGTAAGTTTTATTTCTTTTGTTTGTGACTATGTAACATACTGACTACTATTTCAGGCCAATGTTTGCTCAACGCGCATGTTTTGTGGACGCGTCTCTATTGTCAACGCGTCTTCGTCACTTGTAAGTTTTATTTCTTTTGTTTGTGACTATGTGACCATACTGACTACTATTTCAGCCAACGTTTGCTCAATGCGCGCGTTTTGTGGACGCGTGTTTATTGTAAACGCGTCTCTTTTGCTACTGGTGAGTTTTTGTTGTTATTCTGTGGCACAGTGGCAAACTAACTACAATTTTAGTTCAATCTTTCGTCAACACACGTTTTGTGGACGCGCGTCTCTTGTCAACGCGTCTCTTTCGTTTCTGGTGAGTTTTTGTTCTTTTTCTGTGGCGCTGTCGCATACTAACTACAAATTTAGTTCTATCTTTCGTCAACACGTGTTTTGTGGACGCGCGTCTCTTGTCAACATGAAACTTTGGTAGATGCACTTTGTGGATTTTGAATATAGTGAAAATTGTCAACATAAATTTCACATGACCGTGTTTGTCACATGACCATGTTTGTCACATGACCTTGTTTGTAATGTTGAGTTTTTCAACAATGAAGTCTGGTCCAACAGTACATCTGCAAATTTGTACCGGCCTGCATCCCTGTGATTCTTATTTGTCAGATATAATGGCCAGCTGGACTCTTGTTTTTAGCAATGTGTTGAATGAACACAAAGATTCCTTTGTAGCAGCTAAAGGAAATTCTGGCATCAGGGCTCGCATCCTCAAGACAATCAAAGATGCTATAGGCAGCAGTGAAGCAGCCAAAGACCCTTGTGTCATGCTTCCTGAGAAAAATCTGCGCAAGGTGAGCTTTTATAATTGTGTTCTATACTAATCTAATCAATACAGGCTGTTCGTGCCTATTATTTGGACTTCCTGGAAGATGATGAGGATCGCAAGGCAGAGGAAGAGATTATTGAGGGAGGAACTAAGGACACATCTGCTCCAGATGCTGTTACTGTAGAGATGGTGAGACAGAGGGAAGATGATAAGCCTGAGGATGCTGGGAAGTACAAGACAGAATTCTCTGGTTTTGATGTCGTCCAAAAATTATTTAAGGATGAATTTGCAGAATATGACAAGCAGCACAGAGATACCTCCAACCCAAAGTCTATGGGTCAGAGGACAAGATTGGCCCGCATGTGGCACCAGGCCATGTCCCCTGAGGTGAAGAAGGAGCTTGAGCGAGTTGCAGGAAAATGGAACCAGGAAGGACCTCCTGCAGATACCAAGGACAGGTATTTTTTTCCCAAGATTCTATTGGCATACATGCTATATAACTCAACAATACATCAATAGATACCGTACCCATAACCAGAAAAAAATGATGGAGGACTTTATGGACATGGTCCGGAGAACCATGGGATTGCATGTCGTCATCCTTACAGCCCATGACCGAGGTGAGGGAAAAGCTCCTGGAACTACTGTGTAAGTGTTTTTGATGCTTCATATTGTTAATCATGACTAACTTGTTTCTAAAGCTGGGAGACTTCGCCACAAAAGGCCAAAAAACCTTTTACTCAGGCGACCAAAGACAATCGGAAATGGGCAGAACATGCTCAAGATCGTCTTGCCAACTGGCTTCTCGAAGGAGAATATGGTAAATGTCTCTTTTAACTTTTTAATTTAATATGGTAGCTAAAAGTCTGTCAGCCGATGGAGAGGTTAGTGATGGAGAGGATGACAATGAAAATAATCTCCCAGATCTCACTGTTGAGGTCGATGATGATGGTTATCCTTGCCTACCCACAGGCTTTGTATGTCTTAAGCTGAAGCACAGACAACAGCTTATTTGGGCTGTCTTTCAAAAGGCCTATGGTGAGTTGATTTGTCTTATGTGATTGTATCATTTACTCACTTTTCCCAGCTGTTATTACCAACAATCCTAGGGCTCTGGTGCCCTGGGGTGAGATGTCGACCGATCCCACTCACTACCTTGATTCAGGATGCATTCCTGAGAATGTTGTCATCAGGGATCCTTCCCACCTGCAAAAGGACACGATCACTGCAATCTACTCCCACTGGAAAGACCGTGCTAGTCATGACATGCCGATTGTACGTTTTGTTGGATATAGGCAAGCTGATTTCTATGATGCTCGCACTAAGAAAGGAGCTGCAAAGGGCAAGTCAAGGGCGAAGCCTGCCTATGTTGAAGTCTCTTCAGATGAGGAAGGACTCTTGAACAAGGTCACCAATGGTAAAAGCTCTTCAGATGAAGATGACGTCGAGGTGGAGACTCTGACCATTCCTGAGTCCAGCCCAAAATACCATCTTGCTAGGGACATGGTCCCTTACCTCAAGTCTCTCTCTACTGTCCCTTCATATCATCGTCTTCTTACTGCGGTTCAGAAGCTTCCGGTATGTCAGATCTCTTAACCTCATGATTTTACATTGATTTTGTCTTTTTTAAAGCAAAGAACAGATTCAAAGTCAAGGAAACAGCATCTTCCTGTCTGGGCTTCTTGGACATGGTCTCAGGCATATCTGCCTCAAGACATCCATGAGGATATGAAAATTGCCTCAGTCGCCCTGGAGCATTTGAGTAGCTACCAGTTCGATTCTCGTGGATGGGGCATGGTTGTGGCCCTGGGACTTGGACTCCTACTTCGTGAGTGTCGTCGTGCTCAGGAGTATGAAGCCGACGAAGCTGGAGATGATGTACCTGACTACTTGGGTAACTCGATCTTGGGCATCCAGATGGGCGACCAGATTGAGGAAAAGGTTGTAGAGATAGGGGCAGCAGTAGAAGCCATGCTGAAAGATGAGAGCCTGGGGTTGTCTGTTGTGAGGAAAGACATTGAGAAGAGGCGTTCAGAGGAGAAAAGGAAGTTGAAGGAGAAAAGGAGAGTCGAGGAGGAGAAGAGGGCTGAGGAGGAGAAGAGGGCTAAGGAGGAGAAGAGGGCTGAGGAGGAGAAGAGGGCTGAGGAGGAGAAGAGGGTCGAGGAAGAAGAAAGATTGGCTAAGAAAGCAAGCAAGGTGGACAAGAGGGTGAGGAAATCCAATGCTAAAGGGAAGGGTAAGAGGCCTGCTGCAGATGTGGAGGAACCAACCAAGAAAAAGGTGAAAGCTTCCCCTCCTGATCCACCTCGTCGTTCTGCCAGAGACAAAGCACCTCCAAAGAAGTACAATGTCTGAAATATTTGATATATCATTCCATACATCTTGTATCACAATGGCTTAGAGTTGATTCAATGTTTTGTATATCTGTGCTTGAGACTTAAAGAAATATTCAATATGGCACTGGCCATACATGTTTGAATATAGGTTATTACTCATGCAGCTGGCCCATTTGCACAGACTGCACAACCAGGCCGGCCCTCATTGGTATGGGTCACTATAGGTGCGGCCAGCCCCCTTTTCACACTGTAGAAGCAGGCCGGCCCACAGGAGTATAGGCCATTACCAATGCAGCTGGCCCATTTGCACAGACTGCACCACCAGGCCGGCCCTCATTGGTATGGGTCACTATAGGTGCGGCCAGCCCCCTTTTCACACTGTAGAAGCAGGCCGGCCCACAGGAGTATAGGCCATTACCAATGCAGCTAGCCCATTTGCACAGACTGCACAACCAGGCCGGCCCTCATTGGTATGGGTCACTATAGGTGTGGCCAGCCCCCTTTTCACATTGTAGAAGCAGGCCGGCCCACAGGAGTATTGGTCATAACCTATGCAACTGGCCCATTTGCACAGAACGAAATACAGGGCCAGCCGGTATTGACCTTTGGGGCAGCTGTTCCCCTTCACATATGCCAGGGGCAGACTGCCAGAATGTTGGGTTCTTCACAATTCACTGTACACTATCAATGGCTATAACTTGATGTAGATTATGCATGACCTGGCCTTCATAGTGTACAGTGAATTTTGAATAGCCCAAGATTGATGCCCTAGCCACTGTATATATTTTAGAATATTCACAGATTCACCATCACAGTGATATGCAGGGTGAGGATGGCTCATCACCTCTACATGCATGTGTTACAGTTTTGTGGGTCACAACTGTACTACTAGTGTATTGCACAGATTTTGTAGGTTTTATATTATTTTTTTCATTAGCCTTTATCATCAGTATTCAAGTTGGATCAAAGGTGATAACCTCATCCCAATCCTTTGATCTAACTTGAATACTGATGATGTTTGGATAGTTTAGTTACTGATCCAAAATTGTTTACACTGCACTGTATTTTAGATATTACCATTTTTTTATACTGGAGGATGGAGGTCTTCAAGTGCCTTCAAAACCATACTAATCCAAGAGCTACCATTAGCCCCTACAGTGTTTGGCCTATCTGTCATTTATACTAGAGACACTGGCCTGTCCAGGTACTGCAGGTATGTAGAGACACCGGCCTGTCCAGGTCCTGCAGATACATCATGTATACTAGAGACACCGGCCTGTCCAGGTCCTGCAGATACATCATGTATACTAGAAACACCGGCCTGTCCAGGTACTACAGGTATGTAGAGACACTGGCCTGTCCAGGTCCTGCAGATACATCATGTATACTAGAAACACCGGCCTGTCCAGGTACTGCAGGTATGTAGAGACACCGGCCTGTCCAGGTCCTGCAGATACATCATGTATACTAGAAACACTGGCCTGTCCAGGTACTACAGGTATGTAGAGACACTGGCCTGTCCAGGTCCTGCAGATATATCATTTTTACTAGAGTCATTGGCCTGTCCATATTTCACATAGTCGGCCGATACTGGATATACGTACACTGGCCGGTGTCCGGTAGGCCAGGTTTTGCAGGCCAATGTACACATCCTATGACAGGGTTTTACAGTGTCATATGACTGAAAGGTGTGATATGACATACAGTGACGTTTGTGTTCTGGAATCGATTGACCATAATTGAGACATGTTCCTTCCAGTCTTTGTTCTTTGTATCTTTCCAATGGTCGAGAGACTCCCGAGAGACTGCAATAATGCACAAGATTTTGAATGCCAACTTAAGGATAGGATTATTGGGAGCTCGACCGTATCCACACAGATGGAGAACTGTGCTCGGTAGACAGGATAGGCTCGAGGCTCTAGCGCGGAAAGATGCGACGTGGTAAAATGCAAGAAAATCTGAAAATGCACGAAATTATCCAAAAGTTAAGTTTATGCTGTGCTACGTGCTGTAAACTAAACATGAGATAATTGTGTTGTCTCGTCAGTCAAAGTTCCGGAGCCATTAATATGATTAAAGTCGGAAAAGGTGAATTCATCACTTCCTAGAAAAGCTAGAGGGACACAATACCCAGTATGTAAATTGATATGATACTGCTTGTACGTAGATTGATCATCGGGTGCGTATAACCGGGCCAGTGAGCACAGAACCGTTACTAAATAATAGTGCTGTAAGTGCGGCCAGCTGCGATGGGCTCATGGCCTCCAGCATCCGCATATAGTGTTCGAGATGAGTATGGTTAGTTTCAGGTATAAACACGCTTGCAATGTGTCTCCCCATGCGGGGTTCTTCTAGTGCCCACCGGCAGAAAGTAGCCATTATTGCGAAAAACGGCTTGACATTGAGATTATCCCCGATATACCAGTGATATTGGTGTTCACTGTCATGTAACAAGTATGACATTGTCACAAGGATCACAGGGTTTGCAAAGGCAACGTTGACGACGACTCCCTCGACCTAAAAAAATGCAACTCGAAGTATGAGTGAATCATGATCAAGGGTAGTACTGTGGCACGTACAGATATTTGGCTATACAAAAACAGGTCATTCTCTACAAGACGTTGGACTCGTATCGCGTGCTCAGCGATATGCGAAATGTTCAATGACACGCTGTAGTCAAACCAGAGGTCATACTTGTGGTATACAAATGACCTCACCACCAACTTCACGTCGTCGAGTATCTCTACGAAGACGGGCTCGAGCTTCAAGAGCCGATATTTTTCGCCATTATCTAGTTTGCTTAATGCCCATTGTTGAAGCGATTCTGCTCCCAATCAGTTCCATACCGGTGATTACTTGAAATTTCGGAAATCTTACCATCAGTCTGGGATTTGGTCAAGACGTCCCACGAAGACTTCACCATTCGACGTAAAGAATCGGGCGAGGGTAGTAACGTTTGGCGAAAGGCATCCACTTTGACCATTTCTTTACACTGGCACAAAAACCCTGGAATGCCGAATGGAATGAGCCTCAATTCCGTCGTTGGCGTGCTTGAGCTCGTGGTTGTAGAGCTTTTGGTTTTGACGAGTTTGGTGCTCGGGTGTGACGAACAAGATGCCCCCCTGGATTCCTGGGGGCGGCAGAGGTGGGAGGAAGCGATGACCAAGTGTTGAGTGACATCATCAGTATGATTAGATGGATGGGTGAGGGTCACAGTGGGTATGCTGGGTGCAGCCGATGTTGGCCCAGAGTTGACAAGAAAAGACAGGTTGAATGCCACCGCGTCACTTGCTACCAGACCTGCAGCTGGGATGTGGGGAAACGGATTGGATACCACCCCGTCACTCACTACCAGACCTGCAGCTGAGATGTGGAGAGGCTGCTGCCACGTATCTAAAAAGCCTATTGTGGTTGGATCGGAAAAGTGTTTGGGTTTTGGATGGAAGAGCTGGTCCCGCCAGTGCAGCGGGTGTACAGAAGGCAAAGGATAGTGGATTGAATTCATGATGGCGGCGGCGGCCAGCTTGTCCTGATTAGGGTGCTGATGCAATCGATGGTGTGACTGATAGCCACCCAGTATGGCAGGGTAGTCATCATCCTGGCATTGCTGCAAGCCCCGTAATGATGATTGATCAGGATAGTTTGCGGCCTCGCTGGAAGGACCTGCTGGTGCCTGCAGTGTGGTCACATCGTTATAATAGTCAAGATGAGGCTGAGACGGGTCAGGCTGTGAGACGAGTCAGGCTGAGGAGACTGTGGCGACCGACATTGAGAACTAACCGTATGATAGTCGTGTTGATAGTCATCGTAGTTAGAGAAATTGAATGGATGAGAATCGGGAGGGGGTTGTTCAGTCGTATGTTGCTCAGGCTGATAATCGCCCTGCAATTGAGGCTGATCGCCCCAACCTGATAACATGGTTGGTAGCGAGTAACAGTGAAAGTAAATTACTCACCTGCAAACTTAAGTAAAGAGGGTGCGCACGTGAAGCCTGGATTGGATCGATCACAAACTACATAATGTACATAATGTACATGGTCTTGAATCGTTATGGTAAAGAAACTGCTATATATATATGCATGTATAGAATTTTCAACACTCAGCTGACAAAGCTAAACACGAACCTGGGACCGGATATCTATGCATGTATATAATTTCCAATGCTCAGCTGACAAAGCTAAAGACGAACCTGGGACCGGACTGGGTCCCAGGTTCGTGTTTAGCTTTGTCAGCTGAGCATTGAAAATTATATACATGCATAGATATCCGGTCCCAGGTTCATGTTTAGCTTTGTCAGCTGAGCGTTGATCATCAATTGGCGCTCAACACGGATTTACATCGTCAAGATTATTATAATCTAATTTAATTTTGAAACCGAGAGGAGTGTTATGATGGATGACTGGGCCAGCCTGAGTAGTAAGTCCTTATTTCATCTCATCACATCTCCAATGTTTCTGAGTCCATGGGTCGAATCAGTCGCAGACTCGCAGGCACCTGCCTTTCTTCCCCGTCTACGAGACCGCTCCGGCTGCAACCAATGGCAACTGGCTCAAAGGTAAACGTTGACCGTGGCACACCCATGGCCTGGAGATCGAGTCATGCAAGGAAGAACTTGAAGGTGCATACTACTAGTTGTCGCGTCATACTCATTCCGTGTGCTACTATATTCAAAAACTCGATGCTTCCGACCTCTCTCAAGCTCACCATCCTCAGCCCCACCGGTCGTGTCTGAACAATGGTCGCAGGCGGTGGTGCATCCGTCGTCTACAGTGATCTCATCGCAGCCGCAGCAGCTGCCAGTGGTTTCGCATTCAAACTCGCCAACTAGTGACTACGGTGAATACTCTGGTGCCCCAAGAAAGGGTCAGACTCTCTTTTGATGATGATCCATACTACGTACGTATCTCATCACTTCAATCACATCTAGCTAATCTAGTACATCTAGTCTACCTGCTCACGTGCCCGCCTTCAAGTTCTAGCAAGATCCTCAGTGAATTTCACCAACGTAGTTGCCACCTTCAAAGGTATCATCTACATGTCACGTTCTACAAAACTGAGCTCATTGCACGCACCGGCAAAGTCAAGATCTACTGGTACGTCCGTCCCAACATCATCTCTCATTGATCCTGATATTAACCCTGAAGGGCTTCCGACAAGACCCAATATGATTACTTCACTGGGTGCGAACAACATTTTCTGGACTACTACCAAGCAAGGCAAGAGTCTCACTGCCTATTTGAGACCAATTCATTCAACCTCTTCGCTTTATATTAGGTCATCGACAACACTAAGTTATATCAGAACTTGGTCGTAACTGGACCACTCAAAAAGGTCAAGACACCGCCTGTCATTTCACGTGTTTCTAGATCGGCAGGAAGCACACTTTCTGGGCTACCGTATAAGGCAAGAACTCAACTGCTTATTTCAGACGAAACCATTCAAGCTTACATTAGGTCATTCGGCGTAGACGGGTATAAAAAACCTCACAGAAGCTTTCAATGCTCAACCTTCTCATCCTCCCAATTCTTTCTACTTCATCTCTGGTATGTCGATGCCTGAGAGTAACTGCGCTGGCAACCTTCCTGCTCCTACTACAGTGGTATCTCTTTGCATCTCAACGTCTCCTCAAGCTAGGGCGAAGAGGAAAATTGCTGCCCTTGTGGAAGAGGTCGAAAATTTGAAGCAGGAGAAAGCGATAAACAAAGGTGTGTGCGTTCTCGACATCTCAAAGCAGTTTTAACGTTCCCGATTGTAGAAAAACAACCTACTATGTTTCCCAGGGATGAGAACTTCATAGGATGGTTGTTCTTTACTGCCCATTAGAAGATCTGGTTGCCAAGAATGACCGGCATTGCGAAGACTCAGACGGCGACCACACAATCGAGTAAGCATTCATGTTCATGGTACCATGTTTATCTTAACGATGAACAGACAAAACCGCCTTCAGCGCGGCTACATTGAACTCAGTAAGACATTGCCATGGTTTTATGAAAAGCTTGCAAGTCTTGATTTCGAAGAGTCAGAGGATATGCTCAAACAGGTTTCTCACAGCATCTTTGTCACACTTCTGTGCTAATTGGCAATGTAGCTCAAGCGAGGAGCTGATTCAGCTCGTGGTGACGACACGGGAACTCTCAAAGAGCTCGTGGCCTCATGGGTTAACATTGAGTGTCGTCCACCTTCGTTTCTAAGAGCAGACGATAAGCACCATCGAGGTTTCGTGAATGATGCGTGCGGTAAGCTACTCTGCCCAGCGGAATGGTGCTGGGAGGATCCAGTGTAAGTGATAATCCTCGTCACTTAGATGTTACTGATAATGTTATTCAGCGTCAGGGCCGGAATTTGTGACCATACCACTGCTTTTATCGTTTCTGAAAATTCATGGCCTATGTTCATGTATGAAAATTATGAAGCCGATGCGAAGAATCTGGAGCGTGGTCTCTTCAAGTCCAAGCTATTAGTCATGGTCAGCGGCCTGATTTTTTAACTGAATTTTAGTTCATCGCATTGCAGGGCTTCAAAGCCATTTTCACATCTCCCTCCTCGGCCAATGAAGTTGATGGCGATGGCGATGGCATTGATATCATTGAGAATCACCAACGTGCCCGGAGACAATCAGATCACGCTAAAGTGAAAACATGCGTTGCCTCCATCATAGGTATGAGGAAGGTAACTCCTCACGCGATCGCATATGCAGCTTGCCAGGTGAGTATCAATGCTTCTCTCTTACCATGAAGTTGAAATCGAATTATCCAGATCCGATTCGCGCTGTCCAACATCACTTCCTGGCGCACTGTTGATGGCGACTTCGGCTATCAACTTTTTTGGAACAACATTGTAGACTTCTTCGAGGATCCTCCAGGTCCAGCTGCGCTAGCGAGGGTGAACAAGCTTCTCGAATGGTGGACCAGGTAAGTCATCGACCTCATCAGTGACTCGCCTGGATTGCTAACCTCCTGTGTAGAAAAGTGTTCGGACGAAATCATCATCAGGACTTAACACCAGATGTTATTCTTCACATGTCTGTCAACAGTCTCGCTTCCCAGAGACAGCAAATGGAGGACGCCACATTCGACTCCAACTAGTTACTTGACGTTTTGCTTGCTCATCCCACTATACACCTTTAGTATGATTAACATATCCTCTTTGTCCCGCTGCATTATTTCAGTCCTACAATACACCCTTGATTATCAATGTCATCATGATTTTAACACCTTCTGATTTATATGTGCGATAAACTCTATTTTCGGATATATGGTATAGTGTGTGATATGAGACGAAGCACGAAGCACGACACACTGATACACTATGGCAATTTTAACATGCGTGATCAGAATTTGCCAGTTGTGAGACTAGGATTGTCCTGTAGTGATGGCACAATATAATTATTTGTCCTAACAACATTGAATTATTTATGAAAAGGTCAATGCTCTGAGATCCGAAAATGACTGCCTAAAGTCCTAACAACTCTGCTGCTTCTTAGACTGTTAATTTAGAATGCTGATGGTCCATTCAACGAAGCGTTATCGATAGCACACGGTAAAATAATCCCGAGCTGAGATGCCTGATTGCACAATGCCGACTTTCGTTATTCTCAAATCCCTGGGCAGGGCTATCTTCTCTGGCTGATAGAAAATTATCGTTTCCATTCATGATAATAGTCTGGTCTCTGTTGCGACAACTAAGTACCACTGCAGCAAAACCTACAATTGGTTATTTTCGGAATAAAACCAGCTAACGCTCAAAAACCATAGTCAGGCTACTCTGAGGTACTAGTGAGGTAGCTCAGTAGTTCATCAGATCTTCGGAAGTCTTGAGCTTGGCACGCCGAAAGGAGTGTCATTGTGAAGGCGCAAAATATTGCGCGAATTACAATTTAGCACTGCCACTGCGCATGCTTGTAGCGCTACATCAAAGTTCGAATCATCGACAGCCATGGTCGCAACCGAAAATTCTGTGCACTGAAGCAACATTGTAAACTTTTGATTTTGTCTGAAGGTATGATTTGATGCAATATTATGTTCCGGAAAGTTTCCACTAGGCAATTATAGATTTTTAGCGACAGACTAGGAAGTCTAATCATTGAGAAATAATATATACTCTGACATACCCTGGAGAATGGTATGTACGTTCTGTATAATGTATTGTTCTGTGTGACGGTCTACAAACATGCATTTCATTTGCGCGACTCTGCTACTTCTATTTCGTTGCAACTCGGCGTCCATCGTGCAGTGAGACCTACTCTAACACAACTTAGGACACCGTCTGTACTCCATACAATATACCACTCAAAGCAACACTCATCCAACATTTAGTCCGTACAGACAAACTATCCATTGAGAAGTACTGTCTACTGTGACTCACATTTTTTATCTGAGCAAGTTATCCACGGATTCGGTAGTTATCCGCAGCGAGTAAAAATATAGTGTGCGAAGACCAAAAGGCACCCATCCTCTTCACGGGTGAGCATCACCCAAATATCTTTCACTTCCGCACACTGCAACCTCCTTCCTTGCCCTTGTAAGACTAGGTCCATATTAAAATGCATGAACCTGCGTTCGAGCGTTGTTTCTTAGACCCATCCAAGCAAAAAGGTCCTTGAGGCAAACAGGGCTACCAGGCCCGTGCGCTTGCAAATTGGTCATACCTCGACAATGCCAAACATTCCCATGTGAAAGCGGTCGGCAAATTTACACTGATTGTTGCGATGCTCAACAATATATTACTTTAAATACCATTCTAATTTGTTCACCAGTTCACTGATGCTCTATCTACTGCAATTAAAAAACTGGGCCATCCCTCAGGAAAAGTTGACCTTCTTCTTTCTTCACCCATCGAGTAACTGCGTTCGCAGCGTTGATTACCGCAGCGTTGGGTAACCGCGGCGATAAAACCACATACAGTTCGAATGGTTGCGTTATCTGAAGCCACAAGATCAGTCTATGTGCTGCACTGCAGTCTGCTTGGTGTCAAAACGGCGACGCGGTTATATCGGAAAACGAGACGCATAGATTTCTGTAACACGGGAGGAGAAGGCTTTCTCAAAATAAAACAGGTGTAAGGATTGACAACGAAGAAGGTAGTAGAGGGAAAGGAAATGTTTGTGCTTTGGGGCGCAAGCCCTACTAAGGGCTTTTCCGGCCCGAAGCAAGAGTCCGAACTGGGCATCGAGGTGAGCTGTGATCCCAAGAAGTAGGAGGGTAGCGACGCGTTACAACTTACTTGGGTATATCTAGTATCCCCAGCTGAGAGGCAAAGTAGCGTATTTTCCCGGAGTCGACAGCTCTGGCCAGCGCGTCGAGGGATCCATCATCATTTAATTTATGGGGTCAATGTCAGCGACATGAATGCGCTTAAGGTAAATAGTCTAGCACAACTGTTCTGAACTTCTGATACTGCAATTCAGATTAGAAGAGTTAAACATCGCATTCCCAATCATATGACATCCCAGTTCAAATTTTGCTCAAGTGCTGTACAGCCTGTACACCGAGTCTTCGGGCTCAGAATAATGCACGGACGCATTGTGACTTTTCTTATCAGCTTATAATACTGGGGCGTGGTACATGTGCACATTACAAGCACTGCCATACTATTCGACATCTGGAACTATGGCTTTCTCCTGCGGCTGCTTCTCGATATATGCAGCATTGCTCATTAGCAAACTGTTTTGCGTGCCATCACCCTGAATGGAATCAGGTTTCAGTAATCTGACACAATAGAGCGCTGATGTGACTCACGATAAATGAGGTGGGGAAGCCGGCATCGAAAGGAATAATGCTCTCCAAATACTTCACGTGCTCGGGTGTTAGCGAAATAGCCAGAGACTCCAAGTTGGCCTCCAGCTGCTCCACTTTTCGCCCACCAATAAGCGGGAACACATAGGGCGTCTTCTGCATGAGATATGCAATGGCCACAGCTGTGATGTGTTCAGCACCGACTTCTTTTGCGACCTTCTCTAATGCTGCGCTCATCGCCCTCTCCGTCTCGTTGCGTTCCCAACCGGGACTCGTGAGCATGCGACCTTTCTCTCCTGTCTGTCGGCGGCGCTCCTCTTCCTCGTCGGTTCGGATTTTTCCACCGGCAAGGACATTCCAAGGGGCGAGCGCAAGACCTATACAGGAGTGACCGTAAGTGGAGGTACCAGATAGCGAGCAACAAGGTTGATCTACCTTCGGAGCGGGCCATTGGTATGATATCTCGTTCAAAGTCCCGAAGCATGACGTTCCAAGCACCTTGGTAGATCACAAACGGTGATTTTCCATGATCCCGAGCATACTGGTTCGCTTTGGACACGACCCAAGCAGGAGAGTCTGAGATGCCCTGCCAGCGATACACGTTAACAAATGTTCGTGTCAGCATAGAAATGGAGACACTCACGAGATACAACACTTTCCCTTGTTGCACCAGCACATGCAGACCGTTCATGACCTCTTCGACGGAAGTATCCCAGTCCCACCAGTGCACGTACAGAATGTCGATATATGAAGTCCTCAGCTTCTTCAAACTGGCCTCAACGCTGAGGTGCATTGACTTGACGTTGTTGCCGGTATACGATGCCTTCTGGCGAATGGCGTCGTTGCCGCGCTGGTAATTGGTCGTGTACTTCAATGAATATGCATCAGCATGGAACTATATTCATAAAATCCCAAAGTTACTTTTGTAGCTATCACGAGCTGGTCACGGATTCCCCGCTCCTCTGCCCACTCTCCGATGATCTCTTCGGAGCTTTGATCCTGACTGAGAGGGTTGTGAAGTGTGTCAGCGACGACGACGAATTTAAGATGACTGCAACACGATACCCACTAGTTATTAGCAGTGTCGATGAAGTTTCCCCCAGCATCGTAGAAGGCGTCGAGGAGCTTGAATGAGGATGTCTTGTCCATACTACCCATCCCAAATTTCTCCCACTTGTCTCCGATGCTCATGGCACCGAGCTGTAAGGGTGAGACATGAACGCCAGCATGAGGGGATAATACGCGATATCGCGCTAGCCTAGATGATGGCTTTGGTACGGGTGCCCATAAGCTGGTCATAGACATGATTGTAGAGTCGAGTGAGGTTGGTGTTGTTAACTGCAGTTTGTGTGAAGGTTGGTAGCATTCTTTTATACATGTTTTTCACCTTGACACCTCGTCAGCACCATTGTGTGATCACTGTGGTGCCAGAGAGACGCGTCAGTTGTCTGAGAAAGTTGTGCCGCACAATTGAACTGTAAGTCAGCCTACGTATACCGGCAGGCTAGAGATTCGGAGTGAGCTAATATTTTCAAGACGCACACGGTTATCACGGGGCCGGAACCGTGTCACTCACACATCTGCTAGTTTGTCATGTGTAAAACGGGCTGATAGTACGCGTCGCACTACTTAAAATGCACAAAGACATGAGAATAAAGGTGTCATGTTTCTGATGGGTCAGATTGATGCAGAGATCTCGTAGTTATACTAAGCAAACATTAACCGAAGAACACCCGACGCCAATGAATGAGGGTATTGTCTCGTCAGTACGCCCATTAAAAAACCGGGGCATCCCTCAGGAAAAGTTGACCTTCCTCTTTCTTCACCCACCGAGTAACTGCGTTTGCAGCATTGATCACCGCAGCCTTGGGTAACCGTGGCGATAAAACCACGTACAGTTCGAACGGTTGCGTTATCTGAAGCCACAAGATTAGACCAAGCGGTGTTGAGCAGCCAAACACTTACCCAACCCATGACTATTTCCTTTTCCGTACGAAGGTATTGTAGCTTGAGGTTTCCTGTTTGCCCAGATTTTGCGTGTATGGCGTCATGTACGATCTGGTACAATGTGACAATCCTATTTTCTGTGGTTGAGCATGCGAATGAAGAGTTCTAGGACCGATTACCTTCTCCTCGCATCGAGGGTATCATAAGGCTCCTCAAAAGCCGGTAAGGTAATTTGAACATGCGGCCTCGACTTATAAACAAAGTGACGCAATCCAGGTATCCCCAGCTGAGAGGCAAAGTACCGTGTTTTCCCGGAGTCGACAGCTCTGGCCAGCGTGTCGAGGGATCCATCGTCATTTAATTTCTGGGGTCAATGTCAGCGACATGAATGAGCTTAAGGTAAATAGTCTAGCACACCTGAGTGACGATATCGCACCATGCTCGCACAGTCTCGAACTCTGATCCTCCGCTGATGCACACAAGTCCAATGCCAGAATCTTCTATGAGCCTGGTTGTGTGCCGTGAAGTGGCACCACGACTGTTTTCGGCAACATGACTGGCGCCAGTGATATCTGCACTTTCATTGTTCTCGAGTGTTGTCCTCTGATAATATTTATAGTCTGTGTCAGGGCGATGCAAAAAAGTGATATATGCGTTGACAAAACCAGCGGGGTTGAACTTCGGTAGACAAACTGGAATCCATGACGCAGATGCAGGCGAGTTGACAATAGACGGAGAATAAACGGTATTGACCAGAATGTGTATATCTGCAACAAGTATATATGAAGTCGCACGTCAGAATAGAGAGAGGGTACGTGCCAGCAGGGTGTATTGAATGCTTTTTAGGTCGCACCAATGTTATGACCTGACCCCGTGCGACTAAAATGATGTAGAGGGTATCCTGGAACCAAATTTCCATTAACACTTCGATCCTTCACGTGCAGCAGAAGGTTTGACCTTCATCTTTGAGGTCGGTACCAGTGCTTCAGCAACACGCGCTCGCAAGTTCTGATCCAACTGTAGACAATTCAAGGAAGAAGTCGCCATTGCAAGGTCGAGTTCCATTCGACCTAACAACGAAAACAAAAATGGTTCCGAACCTATTTTTTGGGCAAGATCAAAAAACTTCAAGGAACAATGAAGGTGAATTATCGTACCGTCTAATAACCTACGTAAGTCAAAGTTCGTGCGACGCTCGAAGATGCGTCTCAATTGGGATGCCGTGACGATGCTCAGTATTTGTAGATGTAGATACTCGAGGTGTGAGCGAGTCTTTCTTGTCCAAATTAATCGACCCACGAATAAATATCCAAAACACGAGGCCACCACTCACGACAGACTCTGGCTCACCCCACGATGATGCGCAAACATAATACAGGGGGGACCGAAGCAGGAAGGTTATCCGCAATCTTCCGGCATTTATACAGCGTAGCTTATCGCCATCGTCGAGGAAGACTGACAAAAGCGCTTGAACTATGCCCATGATAGAGGATAAATTCTCAACGTCCTGCCCATCAGGGCGACTAACCAGTGATTATCATCATTGGACCTCACTGAGTGCATCAATAGCCTCACCTAGTGAATACAGGTTTTCCAGCGTCGGTAAGTACAAAGTACTCTCGAGGTCTATATTCTTCAAGAGCTACATCGAATTTGAGACACGTGAACATACGAAGACGAGTCTGAAATGACCGGTCTGAATGAAGATCTGCGGAGATCCCAGTTCTGTATTTGTGACCACTGCGTCTGGGTGCACGCTCGGCACGAGTGATCAGACTTGAAGTCTGCCCCAGACTGGCCGTATCTTCCACATTCACGACTATATATCATGACATTACTCACTTGTGTCAGGAGACACGGAACTGATTTCTAGAAATTCATCATTTTTTCGCTTTGCGTCTACAACACTCTCAGAAGTGCCAGTATGCACTGATCAAGATGAAAATACCTGATTTCTCCCTCTGAACACTCAAAGTTCGCCGCAGATGGTCCCGCAGGTTCTTCCTGGATCCTTCGTCAGCTACATCATCTATTTGACCGACTGCAGTGGTATCTTCGCTGTGAGTAGTGTCCAGCTCTGGGTCTACCTCGTGGACAAGAATGCTGTCATTCAAATCAAGATTCATTACCGATGATGCTGAACTTTCAAGACCTGGCGTGCCAGGCGTGGTCACGGATAGGTTGCCTGTGCTGAAACGGTGATCTTTGAGATTGGAAAGTGACGGAGGGGACTGTAGTACTGGTGGGATCACCAAATAATGAGCAGGAGATAATGGGGTTGTTTGAGAACATGGTGAGGTCATGGTGGTCCACACCGCACAGGCAAAACGGGATCACTGGAAACCCCGATATATATATTTCCCACGATCCGGTTCCGTCTATTGCCGTTAGTTTCTAGACTCGTAACCAGTCTGGACTACGTCTTTGATATTGGGTGACTATCCATAGGGTAAATAATGCGGAATAGATTATAACGGACTTGAAAACATATTTGCAAAAGATAATCTGAATAGAATACTAAACCGTAACACATATGGAATAAACTAATCTGTGTTTTCTTGGTCAGAACTCCGATGGAAGATGTACTGCTACAGTATGCTCTGGTAAACGACACAGAAGAGATGGCACTTCTCGATGACGAAGAAGACGCCACAATGTTAGCAGCCACACTTGTTGCCGGCGCTGAGCTTGCTTGACTTGATCACATCAATACACGGAACCCTAGACAACTTTACCTTTGTTGCACTCAGCTACTTCCTGATCCACATTGCAATACTCCATGGCAACTACTGTATGAAAGCCAGAATGATTGTGCCTTTATTACCACCATGGGCATTGATGCCCCGACTTTTCCCTTCATTCTGACTTCTGGCTTTGCCAGTCAATGGTATGAGAAGCCCGTCACACGTCCTGACATCAATTTGCACGGCATCCCTCACTTGAATTGGCGTTCACTTAATGCTGGTGGGGTACTGGGCCTCATACTTCACTATCTCAACTCCACCATGCAGGAGACTAGTGATGTGCATGGCCTGGCTTCAGGCCGTGGGCCAGGCCAGGCCAGGCCACAATAAGCCAGGCCAAGCCAGGCCAAAGGTCATGGCCTTAGGATGTTGAAAAGCCAAAGCTGGCGGCCCAGGCCACGGCTTTGGTACTTAGTAAGTGTAGTTAGTAACCTCACATCTATTTTTGTTTCTCCGAAGTTTCTGTTGCTACCTGCAAGTCTGCGACTCATTTTTATATCACGCCATGTCAGACAATGGTGAGTTGCCAATTCCACATCATCATAACTTACCTTTGTGTCATAGGTGCATTTATTGTTATCTGAGTTGGCCTGCTTCACGCTCCCTATGCTACTCGAACTCGAGCACATTACTCGATGTCTTCCTTCCTTCCTGCTTGTCTCATCTCATCCATCTCCTCTCCCTCATTCTCCTCACTCTCATCCATCATCCACATTCGTCTGAGCCATGTCAGCAGTTGCTGACATGCACTGGGTGTTTGCGCATGGCATCTGTGATCTCTTCCATTCTGCTTTGTTTGGGCCTGGCCATAATGAACCACTGTCCCATTGGCCTTGAAGTGGTGCACCAGGAGTCTGGAAAAACCCAAACGGCCAAGTAGGCAAATAGCACATCTCCTATACGACGAGGTCAGTCATTTCACAAACAAGTAACTTGACTTTGTTACCTCAAAACCACAGGCCAGTCAGCACTTCACCCACACGCTCCAGTCCAACCAGGAGATTAACTGTGTCACATCCTCCTTCCATTCGCCCATGAGAGTATGTATGTGATCAACTTCAGGGCACTGTTCTGGTCAACTTCTAAATTCATTCCAGAAGCCCACATCTTTGTGATGATGTGACATATTTCATGTGCAGTGTCCCATGCCACCTGCAGGAGCAAACATTCAGAGGGTGTCAATGATGTTCCACGATATGCTATGGAGGCCATGTGCGATACAGCACATTCCCAAATGTTGTAGTTCACTGAGTCATTTACATCACTAATTTTTACAACTTGCATGTCAGGCATAGCTCATACTCACTTTGTCAGAATCACAAATTCCCTACTTGAGCCATGGCTCAGGCCAGAGCCGGGCCAAAGCCAGCCGTCATTTGCGGCTTTGGCCTGGCTTTGATTTTTTGCAGGCCAGAGCTGTCTGAAGCCAGGCCAAAGCCATGGCTTTTGGGCCAAGCCAGGCCAGAACATCACTACGAGATTAGCCTCCAACAGATATTCGCATTGGTTCCCACCACTGTTTCCTGCTATCTCACATCTGGACTGCCCATACTCTTACAAACTCTCTGTTCTATGACTGATGCCTGAATTCAATGGCCACGGGACCCAATTTTGAACGGTGTAGTGTGCTCGTGATTGCACATCACCCATGACTGCAAGGTGCCTTCGGAAGCATCGACGGGCTCAAATTGCCTGTGCAAACTTCTGAGGATGATGAGATTGAAAACACTACCTACAATGGGTGGCTTTCTGAGCACTTCATAAGTTCTGTCATAACATTTTCAGCTGAAGGTATGTTTTCTCGTCTTCTGCCATAGTTTGTACTTAATTTTATATTCACAAAGGCATTGTGATTGTGGCAAGGACCAATGCGCCTGGTAGCTGGCATGATTCTCGCCTTGCATCCCGCATCTATACTCAACTTCAACTCCACATGCCTCCTGACTATTACATTGTTGCAGATAACGCCTTCCCTCGTGGAACATCCTCCATTAATGGGCACATTCGTGCACCTCTGAAACATGGCCAGGTTTTATGTGGCTCAGTTGCTGAGATAGCAGAACAAATGGCATTCAACTGCGAACTACTTTCTTACTGTCAAACAGCAGAATGGGGTATGCATGCCATTCAAGGCACCTTTGGAAGGTTATGTCTACCACTCAATATTGCTAACGAATAAGCTTGCAGCAATCTCAGATATGGACTGTGTACATGAAGCTTTGGCAGGCTACACAGGATGATATGGATGTGTGGCGAGACTTTGAGAACATGCTATTTTTGGACCAGAGGAAGAAGGATCAAGTTTCATGCTTCCATGTCACCTTGGAATACCAGTAGATACAATTGTCTAGCACTGCTGCATGTTGCCTGTCTCGTACATAGAATAGAACAGTGATCTAGTACTGCTGCATGTTCCCCGTCTCATTTTGAGTATTGAAAATTGATCTGTCTTCAGCATCCTCTCAGGAACACTTTTTTGAGTTAGCAGATGCAATGTTTTGGTTGACCTTACCTTTGCCCCTTGGGCCTTTGACCTGGTGACGAGAGCCTGCTGTTTTGGCTGCTAGAGTGTGGCCATGGGCCTCTGCGATAGTGACAGTGTCAGTCAAGTCAAGATTGGGAGAGTCGGGTAGTGGGAGGAGCATAGAATAAATCATTTGGTTAGTTGGCACCTGGCAGAGAGGTACATGGGAACTGGATGGTTGTAAGGGTGGCGCAGGGTCCAAATTGGACTGGAACTTGGCTGGAGTGAGTGCATAGGTGCTAGGAGGCTGTATATGACACAGTTAGTCAAGCAAAAATACATAGTATGGTGCCATTGATGTACCTTATAACTAAAACCCAGTTGGGGCTCCCCATATTTGAGGCCAAAGGCATGTGAAGTGATAGACTATAGTAGTAATGAGCATCTGAAAGCGTAGATGAGAAAAATGAAACTTACCTTGCAAATTCCGGGGTGAGGAACCCAAGCGCCATCTTCGTTGCGTGCATAGGCATTTCCGGTGTCATTGTAGCATAATTCTGGGTAGGATGGGCTACTACCAGGGGGAATCATAGATTGTGGAGGGGGAATGTCAGACATTGTAATTGTAGTAATGTTTGAATTGAGATAAAGCTTACCTTGTGGTCCCTAAGCTTTTATAAGTCCCCAAAGTCCCAAAATTTTTGGTCGTCAGATGCACAGGCATGTCTTGAAGTTGATGGATAGCAAAGTTCACCCTGTGGTTAATAGCTTGCAACAATTTGGTTTTCCCTGTTCCGCCTTGGCCGTAGATTTGCATCAGCAATTGAGAAGGCTGTCATCCACACAAAACTTCATCTAAATCAGAGCTTTCACCCTAATGACCTCCTGAAGATCAGCATAACACTCACCCAAATACTTGTAGACAATGTGAAAAGCTAAGCTCTGTTTTTCATTGAGATAATCAGGAATAACTGAATGAGGTGGTGATGATGCCTGAATCCTCATAACAGATGAATCATTGTGTCCAGGAAATTGCCAGCACACTGAAGAAGTGCGACACCATCTTCATCTGCTCAAACATCCATAGCAGAAATATCCTGTGCATCAGGTTCATTATGGATAATGTTATCCCACTGAAGATAATCAGCCCATTGTTGATCTGTGACAACATTGGCTAATTCATTGATCACCAGGTTTTCTTCAGCATTTCGCTCAAAGAAGCGATACTCCTCTGCAATGTTCATAGCCACATCAGCATATACCCTTTCTCGAGAACCAAATGTGCCATTAGCAGCACGCATGATGTCTTCATCTGTGATTGATTCCTCAGTAATGGAATTGATGTTACCTTCTTCTTCATCAGTCAGAAAATCTTCATCAAATCGTGGTCAATCCGCCAAAGCGTGTGGGATGCTTGGTGATGTGGTTTCGTGTTCTTTAGCCTTGTCAGAGCACTCATGGAAATACTGGAGATTATTGACAATATTGTGAATGGAGAATGATGTAGAGGTCATGAAAGTCTCGTAAGCATGGACAAAACTTTCGTCAGCCTCTTTTAACTGCATAATATTCCTCCAAGGTTTAAGAAGGGCGGGAATCAAAGCACAATAGAAAGAATGACTTGCAGGATCATCGGCATGAGGAAACCATGGACCTGGAATGTGTGGAATGGTTTCGTGATTGTCTTGGCGAAGAGTGTGAACATGTCCTGCATGACTGATCTCTTCCTTATAAGAGAGATGGATACTTGTGTCGCTCCTCTTTGGTACAAGATCAGAGTTTGATGAGTGCGTACGAAGATCATAAGTGTTCAAGAAATATTTGAGATAATTAAAACCTTCTAGTTCAGTAGAACAGTCGATGTATTCATGAATTTGATCTTGCAGTCGTATCGAGCCTTCATGTATTTCTAGAACAGCATATTCAATCTAGACAGTGTTGAATCAAATTGGTATAACTTCATGATGAACATCCTGACGTCACTTGCCTGTGGTGAACGATCACTGACATCAACAGTTCCACCTTCAGGAGTATGCTGTATGACATGTGATCTAGTATCAGGTAGAGTGTATGTTTTAATAACATATTGAAAAAGAAATTGATAACTCACCAGCCCTCGCACAATTGCAGATAAGTCTTCTTGAGAAGTGAAGTGACAGAACTCCAATGTATAGTCTCAAAGTGATGAGACACATATCGATCACCCCATCCAACAAGATAAGATACAACTTCTGGAGCACTGAACTCCTGCTCTCGACTGAGAGAATTCACGCAGCGTTGAATAAGACGACAGTTGAGTAGCTGGACATCTGAATTATGGGCCTCATTCTGCTTATGATAAGCAATCATTTTAGCCAGTAACACAGAGGCATTGGCAGAATGTTGTTGATGTTTGGCAGCATACATCAATATATACCAACTGATATGCTTTGTGTCCCCACCATTTGTGATGAGCTTACAGTTGTGATTAGCGCGATGTAAAGAGTTGATTCCTGGTGGGCTATACAAAAGGTGTTACCTTAAGACTCAAAAGTGCGAGTGAGATGTTTGTCCCAAAGAGACTGCCTGTAGGATTATCTCTTGATATAAAATGCAAGGGATATCTTATTAAGATTGAAGGTGAGAGAAGGAAAGAATACCTCAAGTACGTTCAGAGTTCCAAAGAATCGTCTGAAGTGTCCGATGAGTTGTCCAAAATGTCCGGTATAGGTCCGACATTGAGAAACGAAGGTCTGAGGTTGCGCGAAGCTTCCGGTGAGCTTCTGGCAAAACAGCAAGGTTTCTGGTAGGGAATACGGTGTTTGTTGAAGTATAGAACTTTGTGTAGTATGATTAGCGAAGTCCATTGAAAGACTTAAGGATTTCAATAGCAAAATGGCAGCAGTGAGGCCAAACAATCATTCCGAAATGAACAAAGATTGATTGCGAAGTACTAAAATCTGGAAGTGACTCCTACTAACTATGACTTGAAGCAAGGGTAGTGAAGTGAAGTGCAAGTAACTAGCAAGCCAGAATATATCCTACAACATGAAAGTCCAGAATCTGTGTAGGTGAAAACTGTAGCGAGATAAGACATCCAAAATGTAATAAGACTCAAGGTGAGCCGCTACAAAGATATACATGTAATAATGCACGAGGAGCATATCTATACATATTAGCAAGGATTTTCGATGTATGTGCCCCTAGACATAATCAATAACAGATAACCAAGTGAAAAATGCACCAGCGATGTCAAATGGACAAGGATAGGACATGGTATGGAGCATCAGAAAAGCTAGAAAGGCCTCGGAAATGGGTGGACGACCTTCGGACAACTCGAACAAGCATGCGGAACATTTGGATAATAGGAAGTGTGTCGAGGAATGTAATACATGATTTTGACAAGATATGTGCCCAACACCAACCCAAGTGTTACAGCGAATGGCCAGCAAAAGCCATTGGTTCCAGTTATTCATGAACGGATACAGTCACCGAGGTCCCCATTCACCATTGATATTGACCTAGGATTCTTCAGCAACAGGGAAAGGTGCTCGATGTTTGCAAAACAACCAACCTCACCAGGACTTGAGACAACCTGGGCCGCATTTGTGAATTTGAACTGCACGAACCAATTGCTTTTCCACTCGTTGCTGGTGTGATGAAAATGAAGGCAACCGAGGATCAGGTGGGCGAGAATATGATACAGCTCTTTCACATGGCATAATGGTTAATGTTTGCTCTGTTATGTCATTGTGATTGGCTCAAATATTGGAAGCGATGTATTCAGCTACTCGGATTCGAAATGTGTCTGATTGAAGTAGCTCTTTCATTTTGGCACACAATGGAGCACCTGTTTGAAGTGAAGTCAAAAGATAGTGCAGCAGTGACAAAAATATAAAGACCTTGCAACCAAACAATAAGATGTAAATGAAGGGTGCCTCGACCTTGAGCTTCAACGGTCCATATGTAGCTTTCTATGGTCCCAAAGATGCCATTCTTGCGACCAATATGACCATTGCTTGCTATTGAGATGCCTAACATTTCTTCAAGAACAACGTGAATTGTATAGTGGAAGAATTGTGCTGCTGCATATGGATCAACCACAATATTGATAGCACAATGCGCCACTGAATGTGTCAACGTATCCAGATCATGGACTGACAGATAACAGCATGATCAGCACCTGCATATTGTAAATAATGAAATGGTCTACAAAAGAGACAGAGAGAATGAAGAAACAATCAAGATGTGGAGATGTTTGAATTGGCAGAATACATCATATGAGGCTGCGAGCTCAGAAGTCCTGCTGAGTGGCAAGGACAAAGTTGGGTCCAGCTAATGTCTAGCTGCTATGTCTAAACAGACGTGTTCGACCCTAAAGGGATTTGCTACTAGAGAGATGATGGATATGCGTGAACCCGAGAGTGTGCTAAGCACGGGAAAATAGCAGACAAGGTATGCGCGAGGTATAGCAATGTATCTGAGGTTATCCGAGACGTGGGAACACGCAGCCAAAGGTGCGGAAAGCACAGGAAAGAGCGGACAAGGTATAGGGAGGTTAAGGAACAAGGTTTCAAGGGAACAAGGGCAAAGGTATATTGCGAGGTAAGGGATCCTAGGTATAGAGAGGTATAAGGGACCTAATAGGGGCTAAAAAGCGCGCACTACTAGGGACAACTTCGAAGGTAAACCTATAGGGTGAGGTATATAGTACAAGGGAAGTGTACAGTCCGAGAGAAGTGTAGTAAAGTAGTCCTAAATAATAGGCAACTTATAGTGTCTAGAATCCCACTCAGAGTAGGAAGGGATAGGAAATATAGTAAATATGTAAGGACATGTAATAAGGCTGCAACACATTTCACAAGCCTTGAGGTAAGGAAATTCATATACCAATGGGGTTTGGACCGACTATGGATGGATGAGGAACCTTCCTAATGTGTTTCCGAGGTATCCGAAGCACGGGAATGCACGTCCAATGCGGCCGATGTGCGGGAAAGTGTGGATAAGCGGATGTGCAAAGTGTGGGAAAGCGGGTTCGGTTTCGGACAAAGGTTACTTGCAAGACAAAGGTGGACAATGATACTGAAACTGATAGTGTCCTATACTCCTTGACAATATATATGAAAACACCCTGTTTCCTGCCCAGCGCGGGTCCGAGTGTCACAATGGTCAGTTTGATCAAGGCATTATCAAGATACTGCACGTTGCATTGGTCTATTTGCCTTGACGGCATTTTTTGTCCTGGGATGAAAAATTGCATAACCCGTTTCCCACGAATTAAAAAATCTCCAGAGCAAGGTCATAAGTTCACACAGCAAACCCCTAGTTTCACAATCTACCAACCTCAGCTGACATGGCTTGGCTCAATTTCAAATCATGTGACTGGCAGGGCACTCAGAGTGCATATGTCCCAATTCCTCACGAATGACTGAAATGTGGTTTAATCATGATATCATACAGTCCTATATGGCTTTTCGTTGGCATACCTCGTTGCTCCTGACACTTTACCCAACTGAGACCATGAGAATAGCCGCATTACTCAAAGAGTGTCTTGGTGCTGTTCTGTGACATGAAACTGCCTTGCCAGATGTTGTGCTTTAAGACAGACCAGCAGAGTTGAATCAAGTCTTCTGTCAGGGTGCACGCAGAGCCCAAAAACAGATTCACACTTGGAGGGAGAAAGTCTGGGGGTGCAGAAACATCATATGTTGCAAGCTGAGCCAATCTGCTGTCGTCTTTGATAGCAGAAGCCAAGTTGACAAGCATAGAACAGTTTCGAGTGAGAGTGTGTAAATATTTGAAAGTGCATGTGCAACACTTGCAAGCTTGACCATTGTAACAACTCAGGCTGTGATATTGATCGACTACAAATCAACTATGACATACTACTGGCTCTGTTTGTAGGGTGAACAGCCAGCCAGACAGACAGACAGACCAGACATTTGAGAAACCAGGTGCCCTCATTTGGTCAAACCCTGGACCAAACATCACTGAACATGTTCGGGAGGTCCGGTTTGCATTTGAACTAGGTTTGACTAAGCTTGCAAATGATGGGCCAGAGCTCCACCATGCCATTCCCAACACCACAAATGCCATGCACAAATGCCCAGTGCATGTCTGCAACTGCTGACATGGCTCAGACAAGTGCAGACAACAGATGAGAGTAGGAAGAGGGAAGAAGATGAGGAGATCTCACGAAGGGTAACCTGGAAGTGATCATAAACATCTAAGTCATCATCATCTGCATCATTCAGCATGCCGAGGCCAAAACCACCTGTTGCCACGGGTCAGAGTCAGAAAGTTGCACATAGCAGTAGCAGCAGAAATAATATGCCTACAGAGTCCTTTGGTGTTGGGAGGAGAGACTGCTCGAGTACAAGTGTGATTGCATTTAATGAGGTGGGTCTAGTAAGTGATGCAACAGAGGGTGCAACAGAGGATGCGAGAGGTCTGACAGGGTTCAACAGAGGGTGTGTGACAGGGTGTGACAGAGGTACAAGAGGGTGTGACAGAGGATGCATCAGAGGATGTGATGGATGTATGAGAGGGGTGTGAGGTGATGCACAGGATACTAATTAGTGTACTAAGAACTTGGGAATGATATGATCGTGTACTTAAAACAAAACTATTGAGACATACCTGCAAAACTACTGAGCTGACCCAAGAAAAGCAGTATGTTGAATAGTACTTGTATTAGTGGAGGAAGTAGCATCTGGAAGGATTGGCAGCATTGGAGATCATTTATAGGTTGCTGTTTCTATGGATGCTGATAACAGTGTGGGCTATGAAGTTGAACGGCTTTGCACAGGACTGTGCCTGACTGCACTTGGAGCTGAGGTAGTACAATAGTGATGTTATGGTCATGAAGGATGAAGCTAAAGACAAAGAACATATCAGCCCCCCATCCAGAGTTGAGTCCACATGGGTGACATACCTACATAGTGTTGAGACGAAACTATCATAGGGCTAATAGGAAGCAGCGAAATTGAGGTAGTGTAGGGTGCTGATAGATGATGATCATGGTGGGGTTTGAATATGTCTGAACCAGTTCTGGGTAGCTCCAAACCCCAAGCTGGACTCAAGGTTCGGTCCAGGGGCCATGCTGGACCTGTGACCGGACCTTGAGTCTGGTTCAGAAAGGTTCAGGTTCAAACTAAGGTTCAGAACTGGACTGTGGCAGCACTAGCTTTAACTCTTATTCACCCATTTGATTTAGGACTTGCACTGCTATTTCTTTGTTTTCGTGAAGGGGGAAAACTTGTCTGTTGGCAAGTATCTCAATCATGCAGTTGTGCTTGTTTGAACAGGGCAAGAGTAGGATAAAATCTATCCATGATCTGAATGAACATTAATCAGCTGTCCTTCTAAGGTATATGCCTTGTGTTAAGACCATGCACAAAGGGTAGGACTGATTCTGAGGGGCTTGGCTTCAGCTTGTGTGCTGTGCCTCTTATCCAAGTATGTGCCCTTAATTTCAGATTGGTGTCCAAAGAAAGTCCGAAGGTGTGGGAAACTTTGGAAGGACTTTCTGGACGGGTGCAAATAACTTCCGGATGAGTGTGGGAAAGTTCCGGAGGAACTTCCGGAAATTACAATGAGGTTTTGTCCTAATACAGATATGTGTAATGGCTACTCAGGACAAGTCCTGAGTAGAAGCAAACAGAAGGCTGCAAAGACAAAGTCCAAAGCAGAATAGGTCTGGAGGACCACGGGAAAGATCCAGATGAACTTCCGGAAACTATGGAGGATCAGATGAGCAGATGAGCAGAGTATTGGATAAGTAGAGCTCCAGCCTAGGGAGAAACTCCCTAGGCCTGAGATGGATAGCAACTAAGTTGGAAGACTAGAACTGATATGAGGACTTAGAGTGAGATCTAGTGTGAGGACTAATATGATATTCAGACTGAGGAACTACAGGACATATACAAGAGTTTATATACTAAGTAACTATCAGAAGGATCAATAAGCAAAGGTCCCAGGCTATGTATGAAGCATAAGCAAAGTTATCAAATGCGAGTCGGAAATGAAGCATAGGTTAACAGATCAGTAAGCATACTGGTAGTAAGTATAACTGAGGTACCAGGAACAAGGAATACCAGATAGGCTGTATTAACATTATATGCACAGGAAATGAATTAAGTAGCTTATCATATATCAGATCAGATCAGATATGGTCCGGATGAGATGCGTGGATGTATGGGATATGACATGAGGGCAATAGGACAAAGGATGAATGAAGCAGGCTAGTTGTGGAGGTATGGAGGTCTGATGTATGGAGGTAAAGGGATGTGGATGTGGATGTGCAGATGTGGATGTGCAGAGGTGCAGGGATCTGGATGGGTAGAGGACTGGAGACATGGATAAGGTGTCCAAAGGTCTGGATGAGGCGTGGGAATATTGTCGGACGTAGGTCCAGAATATGAGATATGACACCTTGCAAAAGCAATAGACATCACATGATGCAGTAGCATGAAACCATATGTAGGTAGCTGGAAATTAGTGTTTTGAGTAATGAGGATGACTTGTTGATATATATCAAAATTAACTGGAGGACATTAGGAATCTGCAGGGGTAGGGGTACACAGGCTTGTCTGATGGATTACTGAAAACAACCAGCCTATCAATATCATCAATGACAGGAAACTGTGCAATCTATTGACAGCTGGCTGACCAAATATTACACTTCCTTTCAACCAAACCATCTCTCATAACATTAACACATCTTTTGAAAAGTGCTGGGTGTGCATTGCAAAGTTACTCCAGGTATGTTCACTATGTAGTTCTAATTATATCGAGTTTGTCGCAGACCGTTTGTTAGTGTTACTAGGCACTGATGAGGTGTACAATACCACAAACCCATTTGACTTCATGGACATGATCTCACTACAGGGGAAGACCAACTTCCTTGAACAGCATGTGTTGGATTACTTGAAGGCAAACATCAACCACATGAACACTAAGACCAATCAGGTGGCAAGTAAGTACTACATTTATGGTGCTATGACCTTGTCTAACAATCTTTTATCTAATAATTCAACAGATCCAGCACCATAGTGCCTTGTCAACTGCGCCCTTCAGTGTGCTGAAAGTGTTCATCAAGTGCTCCCACCAGGGAGTTATATGTTGAGATGCATCATTTCAAGTTATTTATAATAATCAATGATGGAGATGGAACACTAGTCAGTGAGTAGTCTATGATTTGTGCACCTGGCTGTAGTGAAAATGACAGGCTGTTATGCACTCAAATAGATCTGTTATGCAGAGCCCTGAGAGGGGTGTCATCTGCTAATGTTTGTGATGTAACCAGAAGGATCCGATATAGCGAGTGAGATTGATGACGTCTAGTTGGCACCGATCACAGACACATGATGTCACATGACTACTAAGACAGATGTCTTCAAAGTCACCAGGCTCAAGGTAAGGACAGTCTTGTCCGAATAATAAGTGTAGATTGATGTAACACTTGGGTTGGTGTTGGGCACATATCTTGTCAAAATCATGTATTACATTCCTCGACACACTTCCTATTGTCCAAATGTTCCGCACGCTTGTTCGAGTTGTCCGAAGGTCGTCCACCCATTTCCGAGGCCTTTCTAGCTTTTCCGATGCTCCATACCATGTTCCTATCCTTGTCCATTTGACATCGCTGGTGCATTTTTCACTTGGTTATCTGTTATTGATTATGTCTAGGGGCACATACATCGAAAATCCTTGCTAATATGTATAGATATGCTCCTCGTGCATTATTACATGTATATCTTTGTAGCGGCTCACCTTGAGTCTTATTACATTTTGGATGTCTTATCTTGCTACAGTTTTCACCTACACAGATTCTGGACTTTCATGTTGTAGGATATATTCTGGCTTGCTAGTTACTTGCACTTCACTTCACTACCCTTGCTTCAAGTCATAGTTAGTAGGAGTCACTTCCAGATTTTAGTACTTCGCAATCAATCTTTGTTCATTTCGGAATGATTGTTTGGCCTCACTGCTGCCATTTTGCTATTGAAATCCTTAAGTCTTTCAATGGACTTCGCTAATCATACTACACAAAGTTCTATACTTCAACAAACACCGTATTCCCTACCAGAAACCTTGCTGTTTTGCCAGAAGCTCACCGGAAGCTTCGTGCAACCTCAGACCTTCGTTTCTCAATGTCGGACCTATACCGGACATTTTGGACAACTCATCGGACACTTCAGACGATTCTTTGGAACTCTGAACGTACTTGAGGTATTCTTTCCTCATCTCACTCGCACTTTTGAGTCTTAAGGTAACACCTTTTGTATATCCAACCAGGAATCAACTCTTTACATCGAGTAGACTTAGATGCCAAGAGCACCTAAGAAAGTCATACTAGAGACAAAAGCTGAGAGGCTCTTGAAGGAAGTAGTTTCAAGGGAAGATTGAGTAGATTCAAGTTAGAGAATCTAGTACAAGATGACCAACTACTTATACTAGGTGGAAAGAGTTAAGGGCTGGGTTACCATACTGTAGGTAAGGATAGAGGGGAAATGCCAAGGGTATAGGTATGCTGGTAACACAGCCTAGATTAGTGGCAGTTGCCAGTGGGTGGTTGAATGTGGAATGAGACTGAGAAACATTGAAACAAACTAATAGTAATAATACAATGTGTAGCAGGCATGAGTTAAAGTGATAGAAAAGGAAAGCCACATTGGTGGCACAAGTCAAGACAAATCATAGCCTGAAGGCATGTGCGCATGTTGGTGTGAGAGGAGGGAAACAAGGGATGGGAATGGTCCTGAGGATCTAATCAACAGATAGTTGGTAAAGGAGGGCAAGTCGATAGCAGGTGAGGGCAAGAATGAAGGGAAAATGATAGGGGGGCCATGTGACTGACATTACTTGTAACACAGGCTGTTGAATGTACTGATTTGTGTTGACATCAGTGGTTGGTGAAGCGAGACTGATGGTGGCTCATTGAAAGTAGCCAGAATGGAATCCTTGTCAACTGTGTCATATAGTGGCATTGTGATGGTGCATGTGGTGGCAGTGTGTCTGGTGGCTGGTTTTATTGGCATTGTGACATTGTGAATAGTAAGAAGTTGCAGAGATCATGGTGTGGCCACATATTACAGTGACCTATCTCCGTATAATATGAGGGAACAGACATGCATAATATCCTGTATGATACAGGCCAGCGGACCATGGGCCCATGATAAAAATATCCTCAACTATGACGGATGGGCCGGGAGGCAAATTATTCCCGATGGAGGCGGGTGGGCCCATGCAGGGAATATATAGAGTAGATGAGTGGGCTGATGTACATGAATATTAGGTAGACGGGTATGCCAAGGTAGTTGGATATTATGCAGATGGGTGTATTAAGGTAGATGTGTATGAGATAGATTGGTAGGTACTTGTTATCACATTCACAGGTGGGCCCAGACACATATTAATTAGACAGGTGGGCTGAGGGTGTTGTATGGGATGTTGTATTAGACAGGTGGGCTGAGGGTGGTATAAAATATAGATGGGTGGGCCCATGTGTATCATACATAATTGTAGACATGATGGAGCTGAGGTAGTTGTACATCAACCAAATCAGAGGAGGTAATAAATCAAAGTTACCAAGTTCCTGGAGCACCAGGTGATCTCCTGACATGGCCTTTGATGGTGCACAGATTGTCTTGCAAAATTTGGAATCCGGGGTGCGAAGCTTGTGTTGTCCTATGAGAAGCCAAATTCCAATTACCAACCTTTGGGTCAACCGTACTCAGAGGAGGTAATAAATCAAAGTTACTGAGTTCCCGGAGCAGCAGGTAATCTCCTGACATGGCCTTTGATGGTGCACAGGTTGTCTTGCAGAATTTGGAATCCAGGGTGTGAAGCTTGTGTTGCCCTATGAGATGCCAAGTTCCGACCACCCAAATTTGTGGTCAACCGTACCAACTTCTGAGTTCTGGGACCTGGGAGTCGACAATGAATATCTATGTATCTGATAACCAGCACACTTCCAATCAGGTAGTATTTCATTGAGCAATGGATCATCCAAGGGGTCCCTTATCAGACTCGATAGTCAATATAGGCAAATGATAATGAAAATATGAAAGTTGTTATCATGCTATTTTTCAAACTCAAGACCCTGAAACCCATTGTTCAACATGTCCATTTTTCACCCACTGCACAAATCACCGAGTTTCGAGTGCTGGAACCCAAAACTCAAAACCCAGTGTGCAACACGTAGATTGTTCATTTACATTACACAGATCATTGAGTTCCGAGTGCTGAGTGCTGAAACACAAAGCCCAAAACCCAAAAATATGTATGGAACATGGCCATTTCTTACTCATTGCACATATCACTGAGTTTCAAGTGCCAAAATCCAAAACTTGAAACCCAGTGTGCATCATGTCCATTGTTCAATTATATTACACAAGTCATTGAGTTCCGAGAGCTGAAATCCAAACCCTGAACCCCGAAAATGTGTACACAACATGTCCATTTTTCACTCACTGCACAAATCACTGAATTTCGAGTGCCAAAGCATGAAACTGGAAACCCAGTGTGCAACATGTTGATTTTTCATTTATATCACACAAATCATTGAGTTCCAAGTGCCAAGGGCCAAGACCCGAAGCCCAAGACCCAAAAATATGTATGCAACATTTCCATTTTTCACTTGTTGCACAAATCACTGAGTTTCAAGTGCCGAAACCCAAAACTCAAAACCAGGTGTGCAACATGTTCATTGTTCATTTACATTACACAGATCATTGAGTTCCAAGTGTCAAGTGCCGGAACCCGGCATGCAACATGTTGATTTTTCATTTACATTACACAAATCATTGAGTTCCGAGTGCCGAGGGCCAAAACCCGAACCCCGAAAATATGTGTGCAACATGTCCATTTTTTACTTGTTGCACAAATCACCAAGTTTTGAGTGCTGAAACCTGAAACTCAAAACCCGGCATGCAACATGTCCATTTTTCATTTATATTACACAAATCATCAAGTTCTGAGTGCCAAGACCTGAGACCTGAACCCTGAGACCCGAAAATATGTACGCAACATTTCCATTTTTCACTTGTTGCACAAATCACTGAGTTTCAAGTGCCAAAACCCAAAACTCAAAACCAGGTGTGCAACATGTCCATTGTTCAATTATATTACACAAGTCATCGAGTTCCGAGGGCCGAGGGCCGAAACCCGAACCCTGAACCCCGAAAATATGTGCACAACATGTCCATTTTTCACTCACTGCACAAATCACTGAGTTTTGAGTGCTGAAACCCAAAACTTGAAACCTGGCATGCAACATGTTGATTTTTCATTTACATTACACAAATCATCAAGTTCCGAGTGCCGAGGCCTGAGGCCTGAGGCCTGAAACCCAAAATCATGTACACAACATGTCCATTTTTCACTCATTGCACAAATCACCAAGTGTCAAGTGTCAAAACCTGAAACCTGGTACTTCAAATGGACATGAATTGTATTTGTATGTATTATCCATTGGTGTAGGGCTCAAATAACTTGGGAATTGTATTTGTCAGTACTCAGTACTTGGTACTTGGTACTTGGTACTCGGTGATTGGTGATTGGTGGTCAGTGGTCAGTACTTGAGACTCAGTAGTCAATATAGGCAAATGATAATGAAAAATGACAGTTGTAGTCCACGTCAAGGTGAGTGTCTTGATAGTCTTTCCTTGTCATTCAGCAAAACATCAGCAATAATGAAAAAATGAAAGTTGTTATTATGCTTAACTTCCTTACCGAAGGTTGTAGTCCAAGTCCAGGTGAGTGTAGTGGTAGTCTTTTCTTGTCAATTGGTTATCTTGTTACTCATTACGCAGTACTCGGTACATGGTAATTGGTACTCAGTATTTGGTTTTGATACTTGGTATCTGGGAATCAGTAGTCAGCTTAATGAAGGTTGTAGTCCGAGTCTAGGTGAGTTTATTTGTAGTCTTTTCTTGTCCATTGGTTACCATGTGACCAAGATATAAGCTAAAGAAATCCAAAACATCAATAATGACAAATGAAATACATGTTTGCAGTAAGTGAGTCTAAAGATAAAAGAATGAATATTA